GCGAATGTCAGATGAAAGAGAGAAGCCGATAACTAGTACGTTCTAGAAACGATAAAACAAGAACCTTCCATAGCGAACAATTCGATGCTTCTACGCTTTCGTCTGCGAGCAGCCGACTGCTATATAAGGGCGACACTCAGCAAGTCAAGTTAGTTACAAAGTGAACTGGTTGGCGTTAACATCAGTGAAGTCGGAAAGTAAACGCGTTGAAGATTACATTTAAGTAAAGTAAATTGTGAAAAGTTGATACTAGTGATTGTAAATAGTAAAGTGCATTATAATTGAATTGTGAATTACGGAGTAAATAAAGGACATTAGATTAATTCTTTATAACGAAAGAAACTGCAAATTAAGTTGGCGAGTGTTTATTTAACAATCCAGAGATCGTACCCGAAGGATTCAGAAAATCATCGAGGTTGATTTAGTAAATTCGTAACTATACTATTTACCACAGACTGACAGTCGCCACTTTTATTGCACCCAACACCGGAACACAAACCAAAACACTTTCCGATGCATAAAAACGTAGTTTAAAAGCAAAATCTCCGACGCCTTATTCCTGCAAAATCAAATAAATTATCAACAACATTTATTTACTCAAAGTACGTTAAGTTAACCGCAACTTTATTGACAGATGTGCCTTAACCGGACATTGTGAACATGAATTTTATGCTACCCCCCGATTAAGTTATGATTAAGTGTTTAACCGGAGATGGTAAAAGCGGCCCTTAAGTTGGTTCGCATAAAAGTTTTTGGAGCGATATAAAGCAAAATATTGCTCAACAATAAACTTCTTTACACTTCCTTAACTTTGTAATGCACGACGTGTGTTTTTTAACATAGTATAGAGAAAAGATAAGTTTGAAACAGAATCTATCAATTCTTTCCGATACTAAACCAAATAATTAAAAATTTAAGAGAAAAACAATTATCGTTCTGCGTTTGTTGAAAAATGGCCCAGAAAGTATACAAAGTACGTACAAAATCAAATTGAATGGAAGACTGGCTTCTGGAAAATTGGAATATACAGTAAGCGGAAAAACATGAATAAAAGCTTAGTAATATTGGAAGAAAGTTTTATTTGAAGCAAACCTTTTGAAGTGTTTGGGCACAAATTTTGTCCCATTAATCAAATATTTAGTGATCAGTTTTTACTGTTGTATTAATTCTACTAAATAACAATTCAAGTGAATTGCCAGGGCTTTATAATATCTGTGGGTGTGTTCGTTCTGATATTGAGTATAATAACCACACAGGATTTAAAATCTATTTTTACAATGGCGCCAGTTAACAGTATGTGTTTTGATAATTACATTTTATATACATATTTGTAAAGTAATAAGAGCGTCTGCATAATATATCGCAAATTTTTACCTTTGCTTTCTCCAAGTTTCTGCACGTTGCAAAAATGTGTTGAGGGGGCTTTGATAATTTCACTAGTGCCTTGACAACACCGAGACCTAAACCACGATTGCATCCAGTAATTAATATAGAATTCATTTTTAAAATTTATTCACACTTAAATGCTAAAACTGGTTTTTAATGGTAATTGCGCAACAAATATTCACGATCAAGTTTTCCAAATATTGAGGCAGAATTGCAATGCAAATTGTAAATGATTTCGTACATTAGAGAAAAGCATCGGAACATATCGTCGGACTAGCTAAACTTTCGATAGCCTTTCGGCATATATCTGTTACTACATTTATTTCCAATGGAACTTCCTATGACTTTCCACGAATGTCAGTGAAATGTCAAATTATTGTTGGCAGAACTCTAATTTCCTCAAGTTTTTATTTTTATTTAGAAAACGATTCTTATATGCATATTTATTATTGTTCGTTAGTGAAATAAGGCATGCCGATGTTTTTTTGTTATAGTTCGAAAGTTATATTAGCAGTCAGTCGCTCTGCAGCACCATTCCAATCCAATGTGATGTGTATCAGGCCGTATTCGAAATATTTGATACGATCTATGACTACTCATATCTCGCCACTAAAAAGTCGTAAGTTCTGTCTACCTGTAGAAAAGAGTTTACTGGAATTTTTACAAGATGATAATGAGTTTTACTCAAGGTCTAGAATAATCGTGTATTTATTCACGTACGTTTATACACATGCATAAAAGTTACGGACTGCTGAGTCATTTAATGAATTTCACAATACAATTTGTAACTATAGATATTTACTGCAATTGCTTAAACATTTGATTATGGTGAACACATCTCACCTAATGTGATGCAATCACTTTAAATATTAAATCTTGAAATCTGAGACCGACCTATATATATGTCTATATATGAAAAAAGTTGGGAATAAATAAATAAATATTTAAATACTTGCAGATGAATACGACTACGATTTAGTTGTAATTGGTGGAGGTTCTGGAGGCTTGGCATGTGCTAAGGAAGCAGTAGCATTAGGAGCAAGAGTTGCATGCTTGGATTATGTGAAACCTTCACCAGTTGGTTCTAAATGGGGTCTTGGAGGCACTTGTGTAAATGTAGGGTGCATTCCCAAGAAGCTAATGCATCAAGCAGCTTCTTTAGGAGAAGCGGTTCATGTATGTTTTGCATTAATTATATTTATATTATCAAAGAAAAAGTTAATTATCAGATGATATTTTAGGAATCGGTGGCATATGGTTGGCAAATACCAGAGCCAGAAAAAATAAAGCCAGATTGGAGTAAATTAGTCCAAGCAGTTCAGAATCACATAAAATCTGTAAACTGGGTTACTCGTGTAGACTTACGTGATAAGTGAGTACCACTAAAAATAAAAATAACTTGATTTCTTATACATTGAAATTTTTGTAGAAAAGTGGAGTATATCAATGGACTGGGATACTTTAAAGATCAACATACAATAATAGCTAAAATGAAAAATGGGACCGAGCGCTCTATAACTGCACAAAATATTTTGATCGCAGTAGGTGGACGTCCCAGGTACTCACCAATACCTGGTGCAGTTGAATATGGCATTACTAGTGATGATATCTTTAGTTTGGGTCGTGAACCTGGGAAGACCCTTATAGTTGGAGCAGGGTGTAAATATTCCGTTAAGAATCACAAAACAAATCCAAAAGCTAATTTAAAAACATTTATATCATTTAAGATATTGGTCTGGAGTGTGCAGGGTTTCTTAAAGGTCTGGGTTATGACGCTACGGTGATGGTGCGGTCTGTGGTGTTGCGTGAATTCGATCAACAAATGGCAGAAATAATAAAAGACTCAATGGTTGAACGAGGAATAAAATTTTTGTTTACTACTCTTCCAAACTCTGTCGAGAAACAAAGTGATGGTCGCTTTCAAGTTAAATGGACAAACTCCAAAACTGGGGAGGAAGGATCTGACATTTTTGACACAGTTCTTTTTGCAATTGGCCGCAAGGGATTAGTTGATGATCTTAACTTAGATGCAGCTGGAGTGGAAGTAAAAAATGATAAAATTGTGGCTAGCGAATCGGAACAAACAAATATTCCTCATATTTATGCCGTGGGTGATATTTTACATGGTAAACCAGAACTTACACCTGTAGCTATACATGCTGGTCGGCTACTCGCTAGGCGTTTATTTTCGGGATCAACACAATTTATGGACTATACTAATGTTGCCACAACGGTATTTACCCCATTAGAATATTCGTGCGTGGGGTTGTCAGAGGAAGTAGCATTGCAGAAATACGGCGAAGAAAATATCGAAGTTTTTCATGGATTCTACAAACCGACGGAATTTTTCATTCCTCAGAAAAGCGTTCGGTATTGCTATCTTAAAGCCATTGCAGAAAGAAGTGGAGACCAAAAAGTACTTGGATTACATTATGTTGGACCCGTAGCTGGGGAGGTTATGCAGGGCTTTGCAGCTGCTGTGAAGTAAGTTTAAACATTTTCATATTTGAAGCTGTTACTCAATTTATAACTTTTCAGAGCTGGCCTTACAATGAAAATTCTGTTGAACACGGTTGGTATTCACCCGACTACTGCGGAGGAATTCACTCGACTGTCAATTACAAAGCGTTCTGGCCTAGACCCCACGCCTGCTACTTGTTGCAGTTAGAAAAATATCTTGGAAGAAAAATACTTCAGAGAATTTCATCCATGTGTTCTGTGAAAGAATATCGATTGAATTGTAGGGAATGTTTAACATTTTCTGGAAATAAAAAAATACATGAATTGGTATACATTTACCGTAATTTTTTTTTTTAATTAAGCCCTTGACATGAGAAACTCTGAAATCCAATTTTTTTGTTAAACAACAACAACAGAAACTCTGAAATCCAATTTTCTTGTTAAACAACAACAACAGAAACTCTGAAATCCAATTTTCTTGTTTTAATTCAATTGAATTTATTTACTAAATTGTCTACATTTAATTCAAAGGCAGTACGCAATGCTTTGCTTTGCGGTCGAACTGATTGACTTCTTAAATATGACGCCGAAAATATTTTTATATGAATGTAAAAATAAATAACATCAGGAGATGGCGAACCTAATGCCCACTCAATGTCAATGGAACAGATGTTTCCTCGCCCAACTAGGGAGAATTTCGAGTAGTATTAGTCCGGCGAGGGCCGATGGAACGCTGCTCGAACTATTCATCTACGGCAGTGAAGAACTAACAAGGTGTGCATTAGCTTCTTTGAAAAATATGATCGTCTGGTTCTCTGCCCAATCAACAAAAAGGGTGAACCCACCCACAGTATGCACCAATTACCGTGGGATCAGCCTCCTCTATATAGTATATAAAATCCTATCGAGAGTATTGTATGAAAGTCTAAAGCCTACCTTCAACAAACTGATTTTACATTATCGATATAGTTTTAGACCTGGAAAATCCACCATTGACTAGATTTTCCACGCGTTGAAATTTAGAGAAGATCGATACACACCCCTCTTTCATCGTCCACACTTCTGCAACATATAGTAGGACGGTAATGATGAGTGACTTATCGAGTTTGGTTTTTGTTCGTTAAGAGAGGACTTTACTTTTCAATTTCATACTCTATCCAAAGTAGCATCTGTTGACGAAATTATCAACAGTGTCGAAGTTATGAATGAGCCTTCTGTTTGCAGGAATACCAAAAGCAGTCAAAGGCTGCTTTGACATCGATGATAATGTGGTTTTTTTCTAACAAATATGTTCCAAGATTTGACTCATGGTAAATATTTCCCACATTGATAAGGTCCAATTATATTATTGATAGAACCTTATATGCGATATTTAGGAGGCTAATCCCACGGTAATTGGCGCAGATCGGGCAGCCCCCTTTTCATGGATTAGGCATCAGCGGCGTCATCTCCTGCCATTCAGAAGGCTAGAAAAGTGTTTCCTCCATACACCAGTTATGCTCTGGACATCAATCGCCAGATTTCCACATTACTCACGACATAAATATGCTACGACGGTACCGGTCAATTTCCCGAATCCAATTTCCCGAAAGCCATCCTCCCGAAAACCCAATTTCCCGAATGTCTGATTTCCCGAATGCCTTTTTCCCGAAAGTCTATGTACCCGAAAAACGATAAATAATTTTTATTTGTATAAAGATGTATATTTGTATAAATATGTATATCGCCACATCTTTTCATAGAACTTTCGAGCATAACCCTTGACGGCCAGCTTCTCCGGCTTTTCAGATCTCGATATCTGCCCCAACTCGCAACTGTTATGGTCGATCGCAAAGTTACGAAGTAGGTCGTCTTTTCTCCACACTGCAGCCAGACATTTCTCACCGTACCAGCATTTTTTCGTATTTTAGAACCCGTCGTATTCGGTTAGCTTCGGGCCGTTGGGAGATGTTTCGTCCCAGGACACTTGGTCTAGGACCAGAGGTCGGGAGCTACTTGAACCATATGTAAAGAATCGTTTTTAGCGACTCCCAGGTGAATGATAGTCAAAAACTTTCCTTACTAGCCTGAACTTCTACACATGAGTCTCTTAATTCCCTTGACAACAATTTTCCAAACGACAAGATAACTTTGGCTTTGTTAACTGTCACTCTAATGTTAAATATAATGTTCTGCTAAGTGCCCATAAATATACCCAGATTAAGACTGTTTTTCTCATGTAGTAGCAAAAAGAAAAGTAAACCGCTATATTAAAAGTTTTCCCTCACAATTTTAACTCATCCTTTTCGTTTTTTATTTAGATTTTGATCTAGCTTATTATAATTGAGCTGTTATTAAACAAAATTCGTTAAAATCACAATATACATACATTGTTTTTGCCCGATATAGAAAAAGACGAATTCGTTACAAGCATACGGCCTGCATTTTCTTCTTTCTGCCTGTAAGAAAACTGCAATTTATACTCTGCTGATTTAGTCAAGTATTTAATTATAATTTATTAAATTTAATTTCCATGTCCTAAAGTACAATATTAAATCTACATATACTTATTTACACTTACATACTTGCATATTCATATATTTAGATGTTTGTACATCCATACATATATAAAAACATATTATACATTTTCACATCTAATTCCCCTTTTGAAGGACAAGTGGTAATTTGTTCAGAAGCTCAATCCTTATAATTTTTAATTTCCACTTATTATTTTATATATTGCCTAAATATGCATTTGTGATAATATTATAATACATATTTATGTACTAAGGGTTATTCCAAATAGCTTTAATTTTAAGACCATTATCATTTTGAATCATGTATTTGTGTTTTTATGTATATTTTTGTTTAACAACTTCAATACTCTAAAGACTGTTAATGAAATTGATTGGCTGTTTTTCACTAACGCCGGAGCTACGTAGTTTGTTATATATATTGATATTAATTATTAGAAAAGTAAGAGTAAATTTGTATTTTATCCATTGGTGGTTTTCGTTACAGCTGCGTTTCTGTAAGCCGATTTATCCATCGGCAACTGAATCGCCTACTTACGGTGGTGACATTTAAGAGGAATTATTCTATGTTTGATCCACATCCTATGCGTCGATTTCCTATCAAAACTTGTAAGGGCCCGACTCTGCTTGTAGCAAATTTAATTCGAACAGTAGTGGAAAATAAAAAGTGTTTTTTTTTCTTTAGTTATATTTATGTTGCAAAGATAACCCTCCTATAATGTTTAAAATTATAAGTATTTACCTCGCCGAATGTAATTATTATTGAGGGATACATATGAAATGGTAGTAAAGTTAGATTTTTCTGAAAGTTACAACACATTAAACATACATACACAAATAATGTTTCCGCATACAAATGTTTTTAAGGATAATCGACATACTTAACTAAGTATGTATATTTACATATTATGTTTTTCTCGTAAGTAGATTGCACATACGAAATATGTGTACACCCCAAAATGATAACCGCACCAAGCCTATCTGAATAATTTGCCTTAAATGCAAAAGATAAGTACTAGACTTTTAATGTTAAGTGCGGACAGTATGATTTATTTAGTTTTCTGAAAGAGAAGTGTAAAATATTGGTTTTATTTAAAAAAAAAATTCCAATTTGTTTTCTTTTGAGTGATGTGGTTGTGGAAATCATTTTGATAATCCAAGTACTTACAAAAAATAAAAACCACGGAAGAAAAAACTTTGTTTGACATGTAGAAAAAAGAAATCAGCGCAGAGTTCTTTAAGAAGCTTGCATGATATCAACAATTCGATTTTTTTACCGTTATTGAAGTGCAGAGTGTTTATCTACAAGAGAACGCAACGTGCTATGTGAGACCTAGGTAGTGTCTACACCCAACAATTAGAATCTTGCTCTTATCTTTTAATTATTCATAGAGGTTTGGAGGGGTTGTAAGAAGTGTGGGATGTAGTGTGTGTCATTTTTCCAATTTTAACTGTATCGATTCAAATTTACCGAGTAGCCGAAAATTAAGACCATTTACCAACAATATTCAATACAGACTTTCATTTGCAATTGTCAGTCGACATTCTATCATCGTTCTTCGTTGTATTGTCAAAAATGACATACATGCATTCATATACATACATACATATATAAACTTCATTAAGTCTTTACTTTGAGTTTAGAAATCTTGTTCTGTTTAGGTATAAAGTTCTCCTTATACTATTTGTCCCTTACAAAAATAAAGGTGGTGCAGTTCTGTTTACCTTTGATAAAATTTTACTTCATGTACACATTTAATAAATGTGAATGTCCATTTTGCTGATATTTGGTATTTTTCGTTAACACAGTAGCACAAATGGTTCATGTGTATTTAAAATATTGTGTTTAATAATAATTTCTTTGTTATTTTGATTGCTTCTCAAACAACTTTTTCCTCCATAATGGTCCCATTGATTAGAAAAGCATATCAACTTAAATCTTGCATTCCTTATTTGTTAGAGTTTTTATCATTAGCTGATATTTAGCTGAATGTTGTATATGACGTCTATGATTGACACTATGTCCGAGATTACGCTTGGGATGATAATTCACGAATATGGTTCACACCAGATGACATCCACGTAATGCCTGAAGCATTATAGCTATTAGGAAATAAAAAGTTCATGTGAGAATAATATTTAAAAGGGTATACGAGAGTGTAATTATTTTGCGGCCTTAATAGTTGAGTCCAATCAATATACATATTTATAGAAAATTAATTTTTCCAATTACGGGTGACCCTCGGCATGGAATGTCAAGCCATCCGAGTGTATTTCTGACATATTATAATATAAAAGCCATTCGAAACAACGGGTGACCGCAATTATAAAAAAATATTTTTTTTTTTAAATTATTTCTACATAATTTTAAACAATATTTACCATTATTTGTAGAAGTAACTCCATTGCTTGGTGAAGATGTTGCTATTATAGTAGCCGGTGCAGAGGAAGTCCTATTACCGACGGTTGATTCGGCGACCGGTGCAGTTAATCGACTCGTCCCATGCCCACTGCTTGTGAATTTCACGTTATTCGGAATACTGACCGTCACACTACGACCACTAATTATACCATTTATTGCACGTGGCGGTGATGATGATATTAATGATGATGACGATGAAACGCAACTAGAAGTTGATGGTGATGGCGACGGAGTAGATGGTGTTGGTGAATCACGTGTGAGTGACATAGACGAAATGTTTTTGGCTGTTAATGATAGTGCTGTACTGCTCATATTAACAATACCTCCATTACCCAAAGATACTGCTGCATTTATAGGCATCACACTCGTGACACTACTAATATCAAGTACCGAAGGGGTTGGCCTGATCTGGTGTAGTTGATTATGGTCAAATGTGCCTGAAGATTTTGATGCCAAGCAAATATTGGAAGAGTTATTATTACCGCTTGCACTGCTCGAAATGTTGTTAGTAGCGCTAACTTTAGATATCACAGGTGATAGAGCAGAAGGCTGAGAAAGCTGTTGAATGTATTAATATATTTATATGTATATAATCTCATACACAAGTAAAGATTATTCGAATTTAGAACTTACACTGGGACCAACCGGTGAGGACATGGTCGTGCTCCCGTTGCTGCCGCCGCTTGATAACGAGCTTGAAGAGCTATATAGTATGCTTCCACGTCCAGAAGAAAGTGATGCGGTTTCATTTAAATTATCTGAAATAATTTAAAAATATATGTTATCAATGCAAAAAATGCAAATGTGCACACTAAAAATAAAATCGAAAAGTCAAAGTATTTGTTACTTTGGAACCAAGTGCAGAAAACAAACCGTCAGGCAGAACAAAATAAAGAAAGGGTGGTCCACCTTGTTTTCCTGATTTTAATGATATTTATAATTTTTTTTTTCGGGCGAGCTTTTATTTTCCTAGATATGGGGTGACGACGAATTTTCGAAAATTATAAAACGTACACACAATTTCAAAAACTTGAAATCGTTTGAAAGGTAAGTTTTGTAATATATCTGAATAGTTTTTAAGATGAATTTTGAAAAAATCCAGTATCAAAAAGCAAACTATGTTTTTATAAAAAATCTATAAATAATTATTTTCCTAAAATTTTATCTAATTGACCCTAAGTTAAACCACCAAATTAAAAGCAATATATCTTTATTTTGGTATATAAAAAGTAACATAATTCCAATTTGCGGTTTTAGGTCTTGATGTTTTTCCTACAAATGGAGGGACCTACAAACTGTCTATTAAGCCGCTTCCGAACGGCTGATGGTTTTTTACGAGGAGCTTTTTATTTCATGTCCGAAATAAATAGAATTAGAAAATTTAACTTAATTTTTTAATTAAATTAATATTCCATAACTTTTTTTTTGGATGTTGGTAGCAACTGGATTTGAGCCAGAACTTTCCGAATGTCAGTACGCAATGCTAACCACTCGGCTACCGCGGGCGCCATAAAAAGTAACACCGGCTTAGCCTTGCAAACACAAAATTCAGCAGCATGTATGTACATACAAAGGGACCCCCTGCGGATTAGGGGGTCAAGAATTTACCCGCGGTAAGACATGCCTGTCGTAAGAGGCGACTAAAATCCAATAGTTCCCGAGTTGCGGTTGCAACAACAACAACATACATACATACAAAGGGGAGTTCGATTCCAAGTTCCACAAAATGAAGGATCTACATCTATCTGGATTTGTGTTTGCCAAAGAAATTTAGAAAAGGGGTTTAGTATGTACATTACCATTTTTTAAAAAGAAAATTACGTTACTGGGGTTAAATTAACATATCCTTCCAATGTTAGCATTGAATAAATACAGATTATAATAAATTATATAATGACCAACTGTCTGCAAAACGTTACAAGAACTTGAAGGCGTGCTGTAAGTCTAGAAATCTCTTATGACCATAGCAATTATAGAACTTTCTCCTAAGTATACTTCGTGTAATGTGACTGAGTTTTATTGCCATTACCAAAGAAGTATACTAATATACGTTCTTTGCCATTGCTTACGAAATTCTTTTCCGAATACATGTTCTTCGAGAATTCCCTAACATCCCATAGAAAAAAACTACTTTACTCTTAATGTCATTCAAATATGCCAACTTTGACTTTTAAGCTAATCTTTTCCAAGTTGTTTTGAAATCATAATTCAATTGGACAAAAGCGAATTGTATGAATTTGTCATCAGTTAGACAATTGTTAAACTGAAAAAAAAAACAAAATACAAGGTAATGAATTCGCCTTGCCCGTATATATAAATTAATTGAAAGATCTGAAAAAAGTATCGGTCCATTGTAGGTCCCTCCATTTCTGGGCAAAATATCAAGACGCAAAACCACAAATTGGAAGAGCTCGGTGGAAAATCGCTTCAGCGATTACAAATCGCCAATTATAAATGTATGTATATAAATAAAACCTATTTAACCAAAATATTTATGTTTCAAAATGAAAATTATAATAATCCAATAATAATCAGGAAAATATATAGAAGAAAATATTTGAAATATAGGGTTCAGTAACAAAAAACTGAAAAGTTGCATATAACAAGTTACAAATGTTAAAGTAGATTCCTACACATATCTTTAGAAATTTGTCTATCCGATATGTACGTAGAATTCTTTAAGCAAAGATTAAATAAAACTTATTACTCTGAGAAGTCATACCTTTTTCACCATTGCTTAAATCGAAATCTAAGAATGGGCCAGGAAACATTTGTTCATACTTTGGACCAAGCTCCCGCTTTAGTGATACTAGCTTAAGTTGCGAATTTATTTTCGTTTTAGCTAGCTGCTCTACTTCAGCTTCAAGATCTTGATCCTGTTTTTTAAGTGTCTATAAAAGTAAAATATTTACAAAATAGCAGAGTCAAAAATAGTTACTAGCAATGAAATTATCTTACTTTTACATATTTGATTGCTTCCCCAAGAATTGCCAAGTTCGATGTCTTCTTGCGTTCGTCCTCCTTTAATGGTAGTTGGTTTTTCAATTGCTCATAGCATTCTTTAAGATGTGCTCTCCGATTTTTCTCCAATTTATTGTGCACCTCACGGGTACCAGCCCTGAGAAGTACACGAGACCTTGTTTTGAATTCATACAAACGTGCATGTATACATATACTACTTATGAATTCATGTACGACGATAAGGATAAGTTCATATGCACATGTATGTAATATAACGTAAAATGTTTGTGTATTAGTTCATTTCAACGCACTTTCATGTATGCATGCACATCCGTATATACTAGGGTGTACGTTCAGTTAATAGCTTAAAAGAAAACCCAAGCTCAATATATAAATTCACTTTTTGCATTTAATTTATTTTCAGGTATGGAAAATGTAGCGAAATGTGGGTTTAAAATATTGTACATGAAAATCAATAGCTTAGATGGGTCTTCTATTTTTTAGGGTAATAAAAAAATTTATTGGGACTGCAGAAAAATAAATCAACTTGGTAAATAACGGACACCCTAATATGTACGTATGTATGTATATACGTGTTTACGTTTATGTATTAAATATACATATATATATAATATATAATATAATACATGAGCTTACGTTTATGCCTTTGTCTTACACATACCCATTACTATTGGAACTAATAGTACGCCTCCGACCAGTGCCACCGATAGAAGGTGTCACATGAGAACCAGCTATCGCATGTTGCGCTGACATCATCTGTAAGTAGTGACTGCCGGTTGAGCTGTGTCGAGGCGGTGAATCGTTTCCATCTTCAACGATCATTTTTCCAATCTCTCCATTGTTCGAAAGTAGTTGATTGGCTGGAATTTTATGGGAAAGTGAGAAACTGCGTATCCGTGTATGTGTCTCGTCAACTTTTCTACTCGCAACGGGCGGTGGGGTAAGAGGTTCGGAATATTTGTACCGTACTGAATGCGGGGCGGAGGTACTGTTCATTAGCGAAAATTTCGGGGCTACCGAGTGATGTTGTTGCGTTTGCTTTGGTATACTAATCGCTTTAGACGAAGCAGGACATATAGTCGCCGCTGGCGATGCAACACGCAAACCATCATTCAGTAACATTTGTTTATTAGCGGCAGCAGTCACAACAACAATGTCGCCACTGCAACTATCTACAAGCCTAAATGCTTTGGATTTGCTGTGATGCCCATTGCTTCCCTTATTGCATTCCTCAAGTGTTGAGTGTGGTTGCTCTTGCTTTCGCTGTTCATTTGAATTATGAACATTCGACCGTAGTGACAGTAAATTAGCAAGCTCATTGATTTTTGGAGAAGCAGTCAAAGAAAATGATTCCTCTACAACAAAAAAATAGGAAAGAAAAACACAAAGCAAAACAACCGAATAAATTCATCTATTCATGCAAAAAGAAAAAATAATAATAAATAAATTGAAGAATATCCGTTCTTGTATTATATGTATTATATGTATATTGCTCATTATCTGTCCACTTATTTTGATTAAATTGTATCTCGGCTTCTATATACGTAACTCATAGGCTCGTCTCGGATTTCAATAAAAAAAAAACAATTGTCGTTTAAACTTTTAACGGGTACATCTGAAAATTGAACCATCTGCGAGGCCGTGTAATGCGCCGCTAATACTTATGTATATGTAATAATGTTTTACCTAGAATATCTGGGCTAGAAGCAATACTGTCTTGGCATAACATGGTTATCCCCACTTTATCTGATGAGCCTGTTTGCTATTGGAGACCGTTTGAGAAATTGCCGGCAAAGCCCTTCGGATCAAGCAATATCCCTACCTATTTTCAAAAGAATTATATACATATGTATGTATGTGCCATGTGGGTGTAGTCCCTCATAATAGAAGGACGGTATGGATAAGGAACGCCTGGAGCGTGCTCATAAGAATTGCCCGCGCCACGATGTGTAAATCGTGCTTGTTTTCGGTAATGCCATGCTGGGCAGAGAGGGTATCTTCGGCACAACTGCTGGAAAATTCAGCCCCCCAAAAAAATTCTATGAAAAGATACGGCACATACATAAGGTTTTAAGACCGTAGCAGACTCTTGTAGGACACAAAAAGGTGGTCTAGTAACGAATGCTCAGAGTGTATTGAATTTTTGGAGAGAACACTTCTCCAGCCTGCTGAATGGCAATGGAAAATGGAACACCCTGAGATGGTTAGCCTGAAACCCAAATCGATGACGATGGAACAAATGTTTCATTGGTTGACTATCAAGAAGTTCGAAAAGCAATCGCCCGTTTAAAAAGGAACAAAACGGCATGGCCCCATGGATTACCGACTAAGCTATTCAAATACGGCCTTCAAGAACTGATGAGGTGCATGCATCAGCTTCTTTTTGAAATATGGTCGGCGGAAAGCATTTCCGACTATTGGAACCTAGATGTGCTCTGACCAATCCACAAAAAGTGCAGTCCGACAGTCTGCTCAAATTACCGTTTGATATGCATCCTTAACATCCCATATAAGGTCCTCTCGAGCGTTTTGTGTGAATGACTGAAGCCCACCGTAAGCAAAATGATTGAACCTTATCAATGTGGTTTTAAAACTGGTAGATCAACCATTGACCAGATATTCACCATGTGCCAATTTTGGAAAAGACCGGGAAAAGTAGATCGACACACAAAACCTCTTCGTCGATTTCAAAGCAGCCTTCGACTGCACGAAACTACATCTGAATTTAGTATCCCCGCATACCCACATACGGCTATGTAGTTAGTTTTCGAGAGAAAGGTTTTGCGTAAGATTTATGGTCCTTCACGAGCAGCCGAGGGATATACGGCGACATTGACTTTGTTTCAAATCAAGATACAGTGGCTACACTGTCTAGATCATGTGGTCCGCATAGATAAGAATACTCCAGCTCAGAAAGTTTTCGATGCAGTACCCTCCGGTGGATGCAGAGAATGAGAAAGACTTCCACTCCGTTGGAAGAACCAGGTAGAGAAGAACCTAGTTGTACTTGGTAGTTCCAATTGGCGGGAACCAGCGAAGGGAATTCAATGGAGCAATATTTTTAACTCGGCTAAAATCGCATAAGCGGTATCTGCCCCAGTAAAGAAGAGGAATCCTAACTCCAGGATGGTCATGGTACGTGAGCTTAATATACATTTCTTAACATAATTAAAATGACAAACTCACCAGAAATGCTACTTTCATCTAATGCATCATCAGTCACAGGGATTGACTGTGTTGATGCCTTTTTTGAAGATATTAAGACGTTTGGACTAATTTTAAACGATTCAATTGCTTCTCCGGCAGTCCTGCTATCATTTAATTGGTATTCATTCCCGATTCTGCCGCTGATTTTCTTAGATTGGGTGGATTTTGTTTCAAATAGCGATTGGCTTCCAGTTAGAGAACAGTTGTAGTTGGGTATAATTACCCCATTGGTAATATGATGAAACGTAGCACTAGATGCCGGTGCAGAAGACGAGACTTGAGCATCCACATCTGTAGTAATTCGTACACTTCTTTTGCTTATGATATTATTATTGTTACTGTTAACAGCAGTTATATTAAATCCCGAAGAGCATTGATTGACATAGCTCAGCTCCGTAAGGTCATCTGAAGCCGAAACTGGTGACCTTTTTAATTTCTCTTGGTGCTCAATATACTGAGCTGCATCTAATAATACTTTTAATCCTGTAGACATAGCAAATAAGCTGTTTCAGTTGGATGGTGTTTATGAAGGTGTTATATTATATCCAATAGAAAGTTAATTTTCCGAAAAGCTTTCGCTTGATGACCTGGGACAATTTTGTAACCCCGGATTGTCAAAACTGTAATGAAGAAAACTGTACATAATAATTCATATCAGATTTATCATACATTCACACATTATAGTTTGTCCTCGTTTTTATGGATGCTATATACTATAAACAGAGGATATTTTAATAATTTTTGATAATTCTCCTAATGTAATGACATTCTCTAACAATTAACTTTAAGAACTCGTTTAGCACAAGAGATTTTATTTTATGAATTACACTCAGAGTGATTGACAATCAACCGCGTCCCAATTTGGGTAACCACCCACAGAGCTCTACCCATTGTCTAAAAGAGCTCTACGCAGCAAAGCTCCCAATCTTCTCTTACACTCCCATCCACATCCACATCTACCGCCCTCGCGGACTACTCTGCATCTGATAATTCCTCTACTGTCAGATGTAATTCTTGCTCTGGCTGGTGCCCTACTCGGACGTGATCGGGCCTGCAAAGCACGCTTTAGTGGAGTGTGACCGCACCTACAAATACTACTTCTAGACTAGACTCTTTCAATTTAACTGCAACGTGTTCGAGGCGAAAATCGGCGAGATCATGTATTGTGCCGGAAACGTACTATATCGTCTTACCGATGGCGCCATAGACCGCAGGAATTTCAGAACGAAGCTATTCGGTCAGGCTTACAACAGCAATTCAAGAATTCTGGTGGAGATTCTTGACAATTGCCCTGCTCTGGTCTTACAAAAAGCGACATACGCTAATCCTCATAACATACAATTTGCCTATACTCAACTATCCTTCGTCCTTGTTTCTGCAAATCAAAGAAAGCATGTCAACTTTAATAAAGCTGAATTGGTTCGGCTTCACGAAATTGACCAAGCACACCTTCGGTGCTATCCGCACTCCAAGCGATGTTTATATTTGCAAACGTCTTTTCCGCAAGACAGTCGAGATCACTGCCGTTCGCTTCATCTCAGCAGAACAATTGTGAAAATCCACACAAAAAGCAGCGGACTTAGCATTAAAGCGCGACTGTCGATCTCGGAGATTCCCTAATCAGGAAACTGAATTTGAAGAATCCGTAATTTGTAAAGGTGGAGGAACATTTAGGGATCTGCAAACTTTTCTCTAACCCAACCAAGTTTGAGCCACCGTCAAATCAATGCCAAAACCGACATGACGCGATTACCGGGTGCAGATTTCATTCGGCGACCGCAAATTGTCGGATATGAAAACGTGAGCGAGCTAAACTACTAATCACCAACACGGCGCTTTTTTCAGAGAACAGGTTCAGACAGGTTATTGAGAAACAAAAGCATCGAAATTTATCTGTACGGAGTCTAATAATACCCTCCTGATGTGTCTGGGTGGATGTTCGACTTCAAATAAATGCCCCTGGTGATTTTACCGACGGTAGCGTCTCGCTAGTCCCTGGCGAACAGTCGGTCATTTATATTGCGAGTAATGCTTTGGCGACAGCAGTAGTCGAATGGTTAGCATTGCGTGCTGCCATTCGGAAGGCTCGGGTTCGAGTCCCAGTGCGACCAACACAAAAAATTAAGCTAAATTTTCTAATTGAGGTCGCCCCTCGGCAGGAAATGTCAACACCTCTGAGTATATTTCTGACATGAAATAAGACTTCTCATAAAAATCATCAGCCGTTCTAATTGAGGTCGCCCCTCGGCAGGAAATGTCAACACCTCCGAGTCTATTTCTGACATGAAATAAGGCTTCTCATAAAAAAAAACCATCAGCCGTTCGGAGCCGGCTTAGTATAAGGTCCCTCCATTTATTGGGAAAACATCAAGACGCAAAAAAAACCACAAATTGGAGGAGGAGCTCGGCCAAAAATCGCTCAAGCGGTTACAAACCGCCAATTTTATATATATAACACTTTGTCTATACTTTAGCTCTTCACATCAGGTAATTCTAGTCTAAAAATATTTCCATATAACTGCGGCTTAGATTTGGGCACAGGCTTTATAGCTAAAACCTCTTAACAGACAAATGTGGTAAATGATCGAAGTGAACAGAACGGTAAAACAATACCCGTTATCGCTTTCTCATAAACTTATTCTTTAATTGCGTCTCACATCATTGCATCTGTTTGCATCATTAATCTTGTAAGCTTCATAAAATATACCAAGTGACTAACAAAGGTAACAACGGGTTAGCAGTGCTAAGTGCACTTGATCCTTGTTCCTAGATCGAGCAATCTGATTAACTAGCCATCGTATTTTTTACCAAAATATTTATATAACAATGCTTTCTTTTTCCCGTTTAATGTAGTTGTGGAACAATATCAATTATCAAAAAATAAGACCTTTAAACATAATAAAAAATAGAAATATTAAAATAACAATAAATATGGGGAAAAACTCAAAATACACAGCATCACACGGTAATTGTATGTGGCGACGATCGATATTCTATTGGGAATTGAACGACGGCAATCGACGAGCGAACTTCCACGACCCGGAGTTCGTCATAAAAGAATTATTTAATTTTTATTACAATATTTAATAATACAATGTATACATCTATTAATTTTTAAGTAATTAGATTAACATCCAATGAAAAATTACCCTTAAACGGATGTCCACTTTTTGTTATCGATTAAATAAAAGAAAAACGTCCCATACAAACAATTATCCAGATATGACTTTTTTGTTGTTTTGATAATTATAATAAAAACAGTTTAGAAGAATATTCGTTTTAGTCTTGTTATCTCTCAGGAATATACATTAATGTATGTACAGTGGTGGTCATATAACTAGAAACGGCATCTATATTTAAAGAACCTAGGGTCCATAGATTGGTTTGGAGGTCGTCTTACATACGATTTGCCATCCGACTGGAAAAAATTGAATTTGGATTCATCGCTGCAAAGGACTCTTTCCCAAAATTGTGGTGGTTTATTTAGCATGATTTGGCGAAGCTTATCGTTTTTGAATATTTGTTTTAGAAACGTGCGGTTTTTTTGATGCTTATGGAAACATTCATACCTATTTCCTTGGCAACTTCTATTTCAAATGCAGTTGCGAAAGGATTTGCCTTACTCCGTCCTGTAATTATCCTGTCCTCATTTGGGGTGGTTTTACGTGCTCTGCGTCGCCTTTCGGATCCTCAAAACTTTTGGTTGCATTGAAAACATGAATTGATTCATACACCATATTTTTAGAGCAACCAAAATGTTTTCCAATTTTCGCCATAGACAGTTGTTCCCTTTGGAGGCACCATACAATCATCTCACTCTCATCTGTGGTGTACAAGACTTCCTCTTACCCATTTCATTAACTAAAATGTCTCCAGCTTATTAAGCAATTTAATTAATAATTTTAGAATATACTTACAATACCAGAAACACCGGAAAAAATCAGTATATTCAAAGAATTTTAACACATTTCTAATTATATGTCCACGAACAAACGTACATATATAACAGACATTTTTTTAATTCTTTTCCAAAGCAAACTGCGATAAAAAAAAATGTAAACCTATAATGAAACACCACAGAATAGCTCAGTTCATAAGAAAATTATTTAGAAAGTATAGGGCGTTGTTTTATTCATATTTAGTTGACTTAAAGAAGTTTATAATTATGTGGCCACGGCTGTGCATACATACTAATATTTTCATTTGGGAATTATGACAAGAACTCACACCGCTTTGAAAAATTAAATGTATGGAAGCTATACTTTAGTCTTAATACCATACAAAATACACAACCATGCCATAATTCGTTAATACACCTAAAAACGTCTTTGAGTTTTCGTTTAAACAAACAGACAGACACACATGACAAGTCAACTCAACTCGACCTTCCGATTATATCCTTATAAATTTTAAAGGGTACTGTGCATACTGTGCACCAAAAATATGAACACTTGAATGTGAATTCCACACATATCTTAGAAATCGCGGGCAATCGATAGTTACCCACAGACAAAATTGTAACTGAGAGGCGACCGGCCAATCCGAGAATATATGAAATTTGTAACAAATACTTTCACATCTCTATATAATCAATATTCATTCATAGATACATATTCATAGGATATTCATTTCTATCAGGATAAAGTTTTACAAAGGCCCTTACTTCTAACATAGTGCACACATATATAAATGTAAACATTACATACTTCTGTATTTGTTAGACGTCCTATTGCATTTTTATTTTAATATCAGACTAGTTTCGAGATTTTTTCTAATTGGATATGTGCAAAAGTAGCTCGCCTCGCCTTCTCTGTTGCCTTTTCTCTTCTTTTGCTCTTATTCAAAATGTTCAAAACTCTCATAGTGGTATAATATCGTTTGAGTCAACTTTTTACACCCCTTCAAATATTTTACAATACTTCTGTTCAAATGCCAATGTAGACGTGAAAGAAGTGCCACAATTATCTTGTGGAACCCTTTAATTTAAGATATTTCCTCATCGGTTCTCTTAATAATCCTCAAAAGATTTTATAAGAGACTCAATATTTTCAGCTTAGTGGTCCACAAAACTTTGAAAGAACGTCCAAATAGTAATAAAATATGTATATGTGCACAAAAACACTTCTGTATGTATGTATGTATATACGTTTGTATATGCAGTTGTTGGTTGAACTTGCTTGTGTTTGTGTTCACGTGTTGTTTTTTCATTATTGTTGTCATTAATGTGGCGACTGTTGCTTTTGTTGCGTTTTACAGTGTTTTTCTATAAACTTTTGCATGTGTGAAGATGGACGCGTGGATGTATTTGCGGTAATACTGATTGTCTTTGTTTGCCCTCTACTTGCAAAGTTGATAGCCACGAAACAAAAACACTAAAGTGGCCTAAAATATACACAAATACATATATACATATCGAGGGCTTATATCCCATACAATCAGTCTATAATAAAATATTTTATAAATAGGCTGTATTGGCCTTTAATAAGCAAGTATAATATTTATGCATATTATGCAGTTCATTTTTTTTTAATCACCCTCCCAAAAACATACATAGATACGAGTACGAACCCCACGCATACAAGTACGAACACTCACGCCCAATTGCACACTATACATATATGCTTCTAAGTGAAAAAAAACACAAATGAAGTACATTTTATCGTTGATTTTTTTCTCAGACGAAAATTCACAAATTCATCCCACTTTTTCACATAATACGAATGTAAATAATATAATATTTCACTAAGCCATTTATAAGTTTTATTTTATAAAGCAAGTGCATTTATTTCAATGAAAATATGGAGATGACGTGTGAATAAAGATTATGACGATGACTCGTTCGCAATTCAATTATCACAAGTATTTACATATAAGTATTTGCTGGTTTCTGTTTTATGAAATACCAAAAAATTTCTCTTTACCGATTCGCAAAATTGTATGTATGCGCGCGGCACTATTATGTCTATCTGACTCTGCTTGACTAACTGGAAGCCTGCTTCTAGTTATTACGTTTGTTGTTTTTAGGGGCTCTCTCGAACTCGAATATGTGGTGAACTCAATTGTGATACATATTTACATGCATACGTACGTATTTAGTATATGAGAATACTGAATACTGTATGTATAGTATATTCCTTTCAGATTCTGATGCGTTTTAAACAAATGATGGTGTGGGTAGTTCATATTCTACGTCATTTCTCATTTATATACGTACATATATATCTATATTGGCATATGCATCCATTTGCACTGACAATTCAAATAGAGAAGATCATAACAATAAAGACTAATCAGAGTACATATTTAGAGAGCAATAATAACCAGAAATTGTTTTTAAAATCCAAACCAAAAAAGATTGCACAATGCTCTCGTCAACGAAATGCTTAAATGTACATATGTATAAACGAATGCGTGCCATAAATTTTCCTACATACGTTTACGAATTTTTTATTTTTTAAGAGAGAGAAGAGTATCGCTTATTTATATACATACGTATGTATATAAATATTATAAGCTTAAAGATATCTACACCTAACGCAGCCACTTGTATCCGTGCTACCATATCTTTCAGATATTTCCGATATAATCCTTTAAGCCTATGGCAGATAATACTTCGTCAATTTTGCCAGCAAAACGAGAAAAGGTAACGCTATAACGCTTTTATTTTCATTTCTTCTTTTATTTTTGTGGAAAAATTTAAAAAGGAAATTGACTCATGCTTGACGAGTACAAAAGGATCAGGGTTGAAATCTTTTAGCATTGCCTTGACCAAAACGTTACTAATGATGGAAATTTCGTAGAGCAGTATGAATTCATCTCAGATATACAAGTTAACCTGTAAGCCAACGCTGTGCAGAAATTCTATCTGCCATCAGCATTTTTGTCCATAATTGACAGCGTGGCAATTTAAACGAAATTTTTATATCTTTCAATAATTAGCAGCCAAAAAAATAATTAGGGTAAATTTGACATTTCAATTTTATGATTACACAAACAAAATACATAAGCTTTTAGCAAAAAAAAAATACTTTGGGCGAATTTGATATTTCAATTCTATGATTGCACAAACAAAACCCATAGGCTTTTAGTTTTTGTATTCCTCCTACTACCATGTATGAATTTGTTTTGAAAATTAAATTTCCAAATTTCTCATTTTTAAATGGAATAGATAAGCCGTTAAAGGTGCAACATCCAGAACTACAGAAGTTTAATTTAATTGTTAAAACGGGGTTAGTTCGCTGAAAGGGTGAGAGTCATTGGCTGGGTTAAATTCGGGTCAATTTCGTTGCGTAGAACCATCAGGGAATGTCCAAGCGTTAAAAAATGGCTTAAGATTAGTCAGGTGGCATTCCCATAATTTGAGTACCGTCATAGGCGCATGTCTTCTCTTTACAATGAAGCTATTGCTATCTCTTTAGAGTCATCAGGGGGTTTCATATATCGCGATAAATTGATAAACAGTGGACAATCTTATATGAAGAAACTGCATACATTTTTGACCACTCTTGATACATTAACACTTCTGTGTAATATACAATAAGATATAGCAATACATGAAAAGGCAAATGACAATTTTCCACATTTATCTACCATAATGGATAAAAGCTAGATTAAGCGGGGGATATCTGTGGCCATTGAAATAAAAAGAAACCCGCAAATTTTGAGGACCTAATTGAATTTTGGATGCGTTACTGTAAATTGAGGGCTCAAAAGCTTTAAGCTATTTTCACGACAAAAACACATTTCAATATTTATCACTTTCACTGCCAGCTTTATATGATGGAAATTATAGTGCCATGCACCACGTAAAACACACATCGCACAATAGTGGAAATGTTATATATTTTAGTACGGACTGTAAACCCCTCTACGTAAAAACCATCAGCTGACATCATCACGCCGAACACCACAATACGGAAGAGAATATCAGCTGAAAAAAAACCTTTTGTGGATTACAGTGGCAATTAAAAATACCTGAATAATGCTAATAAATTTGTTTTTCGCATTCTTTTATTGGTGCAAGAAAATAAAATTCGATGTGTCAAGCATAAAATGTCACTGAAGATTTACTGTTTGAACCGAGTCCATATCTCATGTATTGGATGCTCGTTGAAATTCTGACAGTGTAGTCCAAATAAAACCTTTTGTCTTGCCATCATTTTCCATAGCATCAGGTAGTGGAAAAGGTGTGGTGCGGTCATGATAGTAATTACTAGGTGCATGCATTATGAATTCCAAAGCAGACAGCTTTCGGGAAAGTTCTTCATCTGGACCTGAAATTATTCATTTAAACAATAATTGAATGTTTCCATTAACACTTCCGCTACTAAAGGTGACTACCCCCCAACAAAACACCATCTGTTCACTTTGTACCAGGGACTGTAGTAGCGAAAGGGTAGATTTAAAAAAAAAAACTTCAGCCATAAGAAAAACTTGAATTACACTTAAGAAATCATAAGGAATTATTGGTATTCCATGCCAACAGCTACATTAAATACCTATTAAATACGAAGCAGGATCAAACCCATCACGAGGCTCCGGACTAGCTTGAGTTGGTATAAGCCAAGTTAGATAAGCCGACTTTTCACTATAGTTATCAACCAAAAGACCTCGTATCTGCGCATAATATATATTTTGCATTTCATCCACCACAGACACAATGTCGCCAACTTGTAAATATGATTCCTAAAAAAATATATACATTATAAATTAATACTGCATATATATTTAATATCAATAATATTCACATACTTTGTAAAACACGCTTTCTACTACATGAGTAGTCGCTTGTGTTATTGGTGTTTTTAAAGGATTCTTTTTGAATATATTTCGCCTGCTACGACTTCTGCTCTGTATTTTAGAAGTATTAGGCAAGCTCTGAGAATGGAAACTTAGCGTAGGCGTATTAATGGATTGATTAGACCCTTTAGCTTTAAAGCGCGTCGATCTAGTACTTTTGCGGATTTTTTTCTCTTCAGCAGTGACTGTAGATTTTCCATCTGTAACATCTTTTTGTGCTTTGCTTTTGAACTCCTCTATTAGCCTATCAGAGTCCATAGAAGTAAAAGGGATTTCAACTAAAATGTTTTCTTTTTGCTCGTAGCATTCGTGACAAATCTCTCCTCCATGCTCCGCCGGACGCCAGAGGAGTGTCTCAGTTTTTGAGCATTCAATACATTTAGGCTCGATTTTATTCGACATTTCAATTAATATTTTTCACTAAAACAAAAACAAATAATTTCGTTGAGGAAGTGTAAAGAAACGCGAATCAGGGATGGAAAATTCTGGAAGCAACGATACATAAGCTTTCAACGAACTAATGTTATTAATATCGATAACTAGCTCCATCTTATTGAGTTACCTACCTAGCTGCTACTTGCTCCTAATACGGCTATACTGAGATCTCTCAGTCGAAATACATAAAACAACCAGAGAACGTTAAATTAATAACAGGAAGAAGTGTTTTACATTGTTCGAACGGTCATTGAATCCAAGTTTTCGTACATAAAAGGGGTTTGCTTCTACCTTGTGTGAATTTGCCTTGGTGAATGTAATCGAACAACTCTTATTTGTTGATTTTAACACCAGATGTCGCATATTAAACAGTCATTTTCCTTTATTGTGTTTTCTTAATTTTGGTAGATAAAGAATAGTGTTGTGTTTTTACCATCTCTTATAAAAACGATTTAAATTATCCAAAATTTCTGAATATTAATGTCAAATTAAAGGTAAAACTAAAATAAAATATAACGTAGTGATGATGTTATGTCGTGTAAGTTTTATTTAGTGGAGCTTGATTTCTTCTTTGCATTGTTATAGGATAGAGGCTTGGCTGCAGTGATTTCGGTGCGTTTTTGGTTTGTTTTAGAAATGCTTATAAATTGTTCGCAAAAGTGGCGTTTATAAGCGATAACATAAGTTTTGAACGTTATTTTCTTCAGAAAATGCAAGTAAGTTGTATCATTCTTAAAAGTTGCCTATAAAAAAGTGTTCATAATTAATTGCAGCAAGTGGACACAGATCCACCATCCCTACCGGTTGGTACGGAGGTAAGTGCCAAATATAAAGGTGCTTTTTGCGAAGCAAAAGTTAGTAAAGTAGTTCGTAACATAAAAGTCAAAGTTGCATACAAGCAAGGGCTAGGATCGGGAATCGTATCCGACGATTTAATAAAAGTGGCACCTGGACAATTACGCGTAGGTGCTACTGTTGAAGTGCGTCACCCTGACCGAAAAGATTTAGTGGAAGGAACTGTGACCAAAATTCAAGATTGTTCCCAATATACCGTTGTTTTTGATGACGGAGACATAACCACATTACGTCGTACGGCTTTATGCTTAAAAAGTGGACGCCACTTCAATGAAAGTGAAACGTTAGATCAATTGCCATTAACACACCCCGAACATTTTGGAAATCCTGTGGTAGGAGGACGTAGAGGACGCAGGCGAGGTCAGTTAAATGATGACAGCTCCGAAGAAGAGGATGAAAGCGACACGAAAGAGGTTGTTAACGAAAAGGAGGAACATATTGGCAAAGTGGTTTGCGTGGAAATGGAAACAAAGAAAAAGGACAAAGAGAAATGGTTTCCCGGACTTGTATTAGCCCCCACAGCACAAGTAAGTGGTGCTTTTTATTACATTAAATTCATCAATTGTAAGCGATGTTCTTTATTTAGGTAAATGTACGAATTCGAGTAAAAGATGAATATTTGGTGAGGTCTTTTAAGGATGGTCGATATTATACAGTACCGAAAAAAGAAGCTACGGATTTTACACGTGAGGCTGCTGCTAAGCAAGATGGACAGGCAGTGCAAGCAGCTCTCCAATATTTAGACAGTGGAGCCCTACCTCCACATTGGGATCGCGAATCTTTATTTGGACTTAATAATTCATCTAGCGAAGGAGACGGAGAACTAGAATCGGATTCATCTGATGACGAGCCTCGAGAAGAAAAAGATCGCTTTGTGGCGCAACTTTATAAATACATGGATGATCGTGGCACTCCATTAAATAAAGTGCCGTCAATTCAAAATCGAGATGTAGATTTATATCGACTTTTTCGTGCAGTACAAAAATGTGGGGGATACAACCGCGTAACAGCCAAAAATCAATGGAAGTCAATTGCTGTACGTCTGGGTTTTACACCAGTAACAATAAGTGTAACAAACTTAGTAAAACAAGCGTATAAAAAATTTCTTCAGCCCTATGGTGAATTTCATCGCAAACTTGGATGTTCTATGTTAATGACACCTCGCAATTCCAACCGTAGCAAGGGGCGAAGTTTAGTACGAGCTAACTCTGTTGCCTCCCCAAAACCAGTTGACAATGTAAAGGATGTCACAAATAGGACTACAACAAATACTAACACAGTACTATCATCCTCATCATCGTCCTCATCAGCTTCCAGCAGTCAAAATATGTTAGCATCCTCTGTTGCTCAGATTAATAATGCAACGAATATAATAGCGGCAGGCACTCCATCCGTAACGGAAGAATCTGAAAATACAAGCGAATCTAGTTTAGATAACGCAAAGAACAAGCGCAAGCTGATGACAGGGAAAGTTAAAGGACTTATAGAAAAATATGAAGAGAAGACGAGGGACGACTGTGATCTTCCATTAGCAAAAATTAAAGTGGCAGCAGATTTGTCGCGTCCTGAAGACAAGGATAAGGAGGTATCTGTAAAGGGAATTGTCGCAGCCCCTAACCTGAACTTACGGGATTCTTCCCCACCAGGTATTTACGATATAATGAATCCATTGACAAAATTTGTTTTAACCGTAGATTTGATACGAAATACAAATACACAAAACCTCAAGATCTTTTTCGAAAGTGTAAATGTATTTAAAAAGCTCCAAAAACTTTAATAAGAAACATTTAGTTACCGTTAAACATTAAAATAGGTTTGTTTATTGAGATTGAAAATAGAGTACAGCTGCTCAAGTTCTTTTCTGCTCGAACTTGAGCCACTGCCAAAAAACAATAGAACAAGTTAGTGCAACTCGGAGTAAAAAGCTCATGAGAAGGTTTCCAAATATTTGAAATTTCTGTTGTATACAAAATATAAAATTTTTAACATTTTTTTATATTTTGTTCATAAAATTGATATTTTATTATCACTTGAATTTAAGTTGTTTGCTGTCCCCGTGAACATTTCTCATATTTTGCCTTCTTTCGTTTTCTAATCGTAACCTAGAACAGCTCAATCAGCAAACCTAATATTACATAAACCAAAAAACTCTTATTAGCACAACTATCGAAATCAAGACGAATTCGCTTTGTGGGATACTGGAAATTTCAAAATAAATAATTTTTAATTTTTTTTTATTGCTTCCACAATTTCATTTTATAAAATGTGATAATGTAATTCACTAGCAGTTCAAATATAGATGCCGAATTTATTTATATTGGGTGTATGCATTAATTTGTGCGCTTTTTTTCGGAAATTGCTACTTTTAAACCGTGCAAACCATTTTTGGCACGTTTGTTCGGCTAAAACCATGCCATAAACGATGGCTTTCGGTAGCACTTGGCAGTACCTTCGAAATGAATATAGCCACAGATGAACACGACGCGAAATAATACTAGTAGAGCCCTCTCTTAGAAAACCGCACGAATTAATGCATACAACCAATAGTTGCTGCATGCATACAAACAGATATGTATGTACATACATACATACAATGAAAATCATTAAAATATATTTAAATTTTTATTTTTTCTAAAATGCAATGTAGAAGAAAACCAAAAATTGTTCGTTGATCGTAATTTCTTTCTGATTGCAATGATATCAACTATTTTTTGGCGGTAACTTACATACTCGCATATTTACAGAGATATGGGGGACGAGGGAGGGGGAATTTTAAAAGGCCGGATTTCGTAAAAATTTACATTAGATTACAAAGAGGGAACTATTTTTTATAGAAACATTAAGTTTTTTTGATTTTATGTGTAATTCACCATAATTTGAATTATGTCATAGTCACTTTTAACAAGCTGAAAAACTTTGTTTCAATTGTACTGATAACTAGCATTGACTATAGTCTCTGTTCTTGACTGTTACTCCATGCGATAGCGTTATATTGCGTATTCCATTATATCTACAGAAGCATTGATAGAACAACTGTGTTAAATAAGTTTAATGATAACATCCTCCGTCTAAAATTCCCAACGTACATATGCCTTAGTACACTTCAACTCAACTCATCTAGCACTGATCTTCCCCGGTTTATCTATCGAAATAGAGCATTCCTTTGTTTTTGACTTATGAAGTGAATAAGCATTGCACCACTCTAAATCTAACGAATTGCTATAACAAAACCAAAAGACACTTATACACACATAATTCATATCTCGTTATTTTAACTCAATGGGTTAGAGTGAAAGTTTTGTTTGTATTTCTTTCCTGCAATTTCTGAAAACTTTGCATCTTACTGATTGTGGTAGCGTTCATTTTCATTGTTAAAGTCATATCTGAAAATGCGTTCGAGTAATAAATTTTTGATATTAATAACATAGGGAATTAATTTTAAGTCGCCTCTTACGGCAGGCATGTCTTGCCATGGGGTACCATTAAGCGTCGTCTGGATTGTTTTCAAGAAATGTTTGCAATCAAATTCTTATTAAAAAAAAAATATCGTTTTGGAAATGAAAATTTTAAAAATTTCTTCTGTTCACATATGCTACATAAGTTTTGTGTAACAGCCAAAAGTATGGGCGTAGATATAGGTACATATGTATACGAGTATATGTAGCGATAAATCTAAATTCAGAGTCCAGTTTATTGAAGTTGATGTGTATATACCAGAGATCACCACTGAAAGGGTGAGAGGTTAATTAGCTGTCATTATCTTCCTGTGATTGAGAGAGAGAGAGAGAACTGCTATTGATCCTATAGAGTGGGAAACTAGCTAGAGACACTAAATTCGTTAAGTAGATTCAATAGGACCGATTTCATAAATACTTTCCACCAACAATGGAAATGACCGAAAGACAATGGGCGCATTTGGGGAATAAACACTCCTATATGTATTTGATATTAGGAAACAAACAGAAAAATCTGATAATCGGACGCTCTTACTTACTTTATTTCCTATGTGTATTACAGTCTTTTGATGGCGAGTGGCAATAAAAAATAAAATTTTTGCATTGTAGTAAATCTTTCCAATTAATAAAGGAAATTTATTTGGGATTTTTGACGGCCTAAATTAATTTCACTCTTATGCGATGATAAGCATTTGCTAGCACTCCACGCAAATTCCAAATGTTTTCAAAATTTTCTGGTTGAACATTATAAGCAGAATCAACAGCTTTGGCCCAGATTTCTACTTCGGAAGAAGTTGTATTTTCAATCGGTATCCGTACAGTCCATAGTGACCAACCATAATGGCGACCATCGGGATGATCCTCCTGTTGTAATTCGGCCACATGCCACGTTTTCCCTTGGTCAATAGTCAAATCAACACGTACGATACGACGACCACCTCCTGACCAAGCGTAACCATGCACAGTTAAATATCCATCATCTTTGATTATGAGCGCATCCCCATCTACAGGCGAACATATTGCTGAAGTCACAGGCATTGCCTGTATAGCTGGTGATTTTGAAAAATCAACTGTATCCCAATCTGTACTTGGGCTGAATCCTTTGTAATCGTTTTGCTGCCAATGTGAGTTGGATTCGTTCTCAGACACAGCGATACGTGATAACCATTTCACATTGCGAGAACCCACAGTTCCGGGAACAATGCACCGCAGCGGGTAGCCGTGATCACGACTCAATACTTTACCATTCATTTCGTATGCTAGTATGACGTCACCGCGTTCATCCATTGCTTTTGACAAGGGAATCGATGCTCCATATGGATGCGAGGTTGGATCTAGATCAGCACCTTCTAAAACAACATGAAGATTTTCATTAGGGACAACGCCCATGGCCAACAGAACATCCCTTAAGCGAGCACCGGACCAAGTTGCGTTACCCACAGCCCCCGCATTCCAAGAGAGACCTGTAACGAGATATTTTAAGCTGTCTTAAAAAAAAAAAACCACACACACAAATGTAAAAGTGGTAATAGTTCACCTTTTACAGATTTCACCCTCGTCATTTCCGAACGACGATTACCACCGCACATTACCGCTGCGGTCACTGTGTATTTTGGCATTCGTTTGATATCTGCTAATGTCAATGATTTTGACTGCTCCTTCATGCCCGACTCGGTCGTTTCAATTGAAACCTCGAGCTCGAATTTGTTGGCATCTATAAGAGGAACCGGCAAATGATTTCGAACGTAAAAAAATTCATTCGGTGTAAAAAAGTTTTCTCCTAAAAGCTTCATTGGTGGCTCAGCATTGAATGGTCTCTCAGATGTTGGATTTAGTAGAGGATGACGTCTGGGCTCGTGGGCCCAAGGTGAACCCATGTCTTCTGTGCTTACTTTATCTTCAGGAGATAAGTTTCCGATCCGATAAAGCTCCAAAAGTGTTAAAATTTCTTTATTATTGTGTTGCTGATAAATGGCCCAAAATGGATCAATTGCACTACCTGCTCCCAACATAATATTTTCACCGCCCGGATGTTCGGCTATGAATTCGGTTATGTCGTACACTCCGATACCATATGTTACCCAAACACGTTTATCAACGCTGCAATGAACTTGTATTTCTTCCACATTATAAGTTGGCAAATCAGAGCGTCGAATCGTATGCCAGATTGGCTTATCCCCATTCAATTCTGTGATGGAATTATTTATTTTTTGAGAACCACTTAAATTCACATTAAGTAATTTATATTTGTGTTCGTACAAAGAAAAACCAGCTACAACACCACCCAGTGCTAAACACCCGTAAAGAAGAGTATTTTTCAGCTTGCTGAACTGATTGCTTTCAGTATGTGAATTTCTCAGTGTGCTGTTTGTAGATCCCAATCGAAATGTACGGTCCTTTGCGAACAAAACACCAATATTTCGTGTTGACAAACTTTGAAACTGTATCTTTAACATTTCGCTCTAATCTGAAAAAATAAGCCAAAGGTGATTGTATGAAACTTCATTATACCATCAAGTTACTTTTTCAGTTCAGTGTGATAAGCTCATTTACGTTGACAAAAATAAGAACATTCACACATATGTAGGTATGGAGTGTTTCAAATACCCAGTTGGAAAATGATTATCATTATACTTCTTCGAGTAGGAATACAATGTACGAATGTAATGTAATTCAAAAGGTAATATATTGTTTTTGACACATTAAGAGAAATGGTTAGCAGTGTGCATTGCTATTCGGAAGGCCAGTTCACAATTCGAAATAATAGAAAGTTGCGGGGGCCCTCGGAATATCAAGCCTTTCGGGTGTATTTTTGACTTGAAGTGAAAATCCTCATACAAATCTGTAGATCTCTCAATTTGTTGGAAATAACGGCAAGTCGAGAATATCGCTTCAGCGGTTACAAAGAGCCAATTATATAAATATATTAAATGCTTTTGTAACTAAAATACTACGAAATTCCTTGTTCCCCGGAACCAGGGACCACGTTTAACTTATGAATAATTATAGATCTGGATGGTGCATTTGGCTTACTCCGAGGCATTAATATTGACATTTACAATTGAAATACTCTGATTTGTACAAATTTACAATTAGTCAATAATAGATATAAATAATAAAAAAACGTAAAGTTTTGTATTAGATGACTCTTAATTAAGTCTTTTTATCAATAATTTACTTCATGCATCAACATACCTTTTTCCAAGTAGCCAGCTTCCGAAACACAATGACGGAAAATGGAACGTATTGTTGTAATTTGTATATGCTGGCGCAGGCACAACTACAATGAAAAATGGCTTTGATTGTTTTGCAGTTCGGGAGAGAAAGCTAATCGAAATAGAAATCAACGAACTATTTACTTTATATGTTTTAAATGTTTCCAGTAGCCAAAAACAAGTTATGAGAAATTCAAAGAAAAACAGTTTTAAAGTTTACAGGTGTTATTCGTGTAGGATACATAGCTTCATGCATTCTCTCAATAAAAATGTCTCCGTATGAATTTACATTTCTACGTATAGACTCCAAAACCACGGAGTCGATTTTGTTCAAATCTTCAGGCTAGTTTCATTGAAACCCAGAGAGTGTTCCTGTTGGATATATTGAAAAATTGCCAAGTGTCTGAAAATTAATATTCTGAAAAATCTTATTTAATATTCGACTTCCTTAAATTTACTACACATCTTCAAATATCGGGCGAATAAGGTGGTTGTGGCAACACAGTGATCACGTTAGGCGGTGTGGCACGGCGCGTTGTCATGATGAAGGATCCAATTACGAGCGATGTCTGAGCGCGTCGGGTTGACTCGTTTTCGCAATCTTTCGACTACTTGGCGATAGTAGACTTGATTTACGGTTTGCCCCTGTGGATGAAATTCTTTGTGGATGATTTCGCGGCTATCAAAAAGGCAATAATCATCGTTTTCCACGCCTCGTCTTCCACGCTTTCACACCCTTAAACTCTTTATGCCATCAAAACACTATAATCATACACTCTTACAATTTTAGCGTACGTGAAGCTGTTTCATCCAATTTTGAAATTTTTGAATTTTTTATCATGCCTGTTAGTAAGGGGGAGAAAAAATAACTCTTTCAATTTAACACCTGGTTCATTTTTTTACACTTATTTTCATATATGTTTTGGAATTACCAGCAAAGCAAGAGAAATATATATATATATATATATATATAACGCAATTGCTATTAGTTTGTCGCACCAAAAAACGACGATTATGTCTGGACCGATTTGACTAATTTTAACCTTAAAATATTTCCGTCAGTTGAGGAAAGTTTCACATAGTTAGAAATATCGTATTCGATAAAGTCGTTATTGTAGCACTATCACAAACACTATCTTTTCTTCCTTAAAGTGGACCAGGGACCATGTTCGATTTGCTTGAAATTTAGTACGTCTTTATTTCTGGCTTAGACTCACATATGAAATTCTTTCTTTCTAGGGTGGGTGTCATAGATTGACAGTCGACGAAATTCAGTATGATGATAATATATAACGACTGAAGTTTGCTTTGAATTCGAATTTGCAGCTGCATCCATAGTGTTTGCAAGTTATTCTTATATATTGAGCGTTATTGAAAATAAACGTAGATTAGATTCGAGGCATTCACATTCATGTTTTCACTAATCTCTCAATATATCTAATTTGGCTTTTACCATAATACTTATGGTAAAAATTAACTCAGTCGCTGTGATATTCAAATGCTAAACATTTTATGCACTTTCATACATTCAAACATTAAGCTTTATCAATAATATAATAAGAAATTTAATAAGCGTCTTTTGACATCTGCCAAACTAAATCTCAAGCGATTGATTACATTGGATCGGTTACAAATATTGCTCGTTCTACCTCAAACATCGCTACAAAAAGTAAAAGGGTATCCAAAGATCCGAAAGTGCCTAGTTAACGTTCTCACCAGGTGGGACTTTCTTACCGCACAGTATGGCGTATTTTGCACTTGCTCTCACATATAAAGTACATCACGAGCGAATATGATTTTTTTTTAATGTTACTTCATCACAGCTTGGCCGTGTGAATATTAATATGGCTTTGTTACAAGAAAAATTTTGTTTATGTGGATAAACTTTTAACTCTTGAGCTGGGATACCGCTAAAGTGCCAAAAAGTGGTCGAAAACTACGTCAAAAAGATTGAAAATTCGCAATGCTGACATTTCAATGACGCAAGGTTTCACATATATTGCCAAAGTTTAAACTTTATAAAAAAAAGAATTTCGTGAAAAAATTATTTTAAAATCATAAATAGACTTTTAGTAGGATACAGTGTCTCGCTGAGTATTTGAAAACGAAGATTGTGGGCTGCGAGCAACTAATTACTAACCAAACTTAACTGTTCAGTGCAGTACGCGTAGCACGATTTGATTGTGAGACGTCCACTGTTTATATATAATATAATATTAGTTAACTATTCAGACATTAAGTAAACTCACTTCATTACATATGCAGTTCTTTTATTAGTATTTTTAAGATGTGAAAACTATTATTTTTAACATCGTAATCGTTTTACAGGAACAAGCGGTGCAAATAAAAAGGATAAAATCCAAAAAAAGCAAACCCCCCAAAGTGATGATAAACGAAATAAACGCAAAAAAGATGATATTATCGAAAAAGTGGATATTGGCGATTTTATCGTTGAGGTAGGAGACAAACTTAAAGTTTATTACCATGAAAAGAAGGTTACTTATGAAGCTAAAGTTATCGAAATATCTGTACAACGAGGATCTCCAATGTATCTAGTACATTATACTGGATGGAACAATCGCTATGACGAATGGGTACCGAGGGAACGTATCGCGGAAAACATAACTAAAGGTTCAAAGCAAAAAGGACGGCTGTCAAATCCAGGAGCTATTGAGAAGCAAAAAGAGAATCCGTCAAAACCGCCAACAGCGCCGTTAATGAATTTATCGGGCCCACCAAATTCAAACGCTAATATATTAAGTAGCACACCGATATCTACAAAAATGTCGGTGGCAGCTAAACGTGGTCGTGGTAGAAGCGATTCACTCCCACCGCGGTCAACTACACCCTCGTCTATAGCATCTAATTCAAGTCGGACAAAATCACCAGCTACTGCTGGTCTAAAAAGAAGACCAATTCGTTCATTGGCAAATTCTGCACGGCGCACATCAGCAAATGTTTCTGATGCTTCTTTGCAAAGCGAGTCAGACACAGACTCAGATGAACCAGTACGACGGCCAAGACGTGGTACCAAAGAAATGGACTATAAATCAGGTTCATTAAGCGGAAAGGTAACAATTAAGAATAGCCAGTCAGATTCAGATGTTGACGACGAAGAGGAAGCGACTTCGACAAATTTGGAAACAAATAATAGCACTACCATGAACATAAATTCCAAAAGTCATAATTATGATTTAAGTCAAATACATCCTGAAGAAAGAGAATTTCAGAATTTAAAATCTCCTACATCGTCATTAGCTGAGGAGGATGCACATGTATCAACTGCAAAAGAAGAAGTAACGGTTAAAAGTGAAATTATTACAGACGTTAAAAATGTTTGCATTTCTAGAAACATAACAGTAGTTGAGTTAAACACTGAAGCTCCGTTTGAAAAAGAAGATGTAAAACAAGATTTAAAAGAGGAAAATTTGAAATCCTCCACGGATATGTCGTCGGAGACGGAATCATTTTGTGATGACGATTCCCAATCATCTGGGAAAACTACGACTCTCGAGAACATGACAAAAAAGTTTCAGCAGAAAATCAAAGCAGGCAAACAACAGGCTTTAGAAAAGCTTTCCTGCGGAAAACCTACTATTGAGCGGGTGCCAAAAGTCGTCGAGAAAATAATAAAGGATTCTCTTGCAGAAAAACTACAGGAGAGTCTTAAAACTAAGCCCGATATTAAAAAAGAAGAAAACTTGGGCGCGACTGAAAGTGACACTGTCATTTGTAAATCTGACATTGACAAAAAAGATGAAGGTAAAAAGAATAGCATTCAAACTGATTTCACACAAAAAAGCACTTCGAGTGGTCAATACAGATTTGGAAGTACGATGGGCGAAAGCAAATATTCTTCAGTTATTCTTGAAAAATCTTCGAACACGGTTAAGAAAATAGAATTGAGTTGCAGTAAAAAATCCGAGATGTGCAGGAAAGGAACACAAGATTTATCAGAAGTTCAATCAAAAAAAAATATAGAGTCAGTGTGTAAGGAGTTAAGCAAGCCTGAACCGTCGTCAGCTTGCTCACCATCATCTTCTTCTTCATCGTCATCATCATCGTCAACTTCCACATCATCGCGTTCTTTGCCAGACATGAGTAAGTTAGATATTAGTGGTGGATCTTCAGCATCTTCACTGCATTTGTCTACTAATAAAGATTTAAAGTTAATGTCAGTTGCACCAAAAGAAGCTTCACCGGATATATATGAGTTCAAGGATCCAGAACCATTTGAATTTGAAATAAGAAAATTGCAAACTACTAGCTCAAATTCATCTTCATTAAGCTCAAGTGTATTAAGTGGAGGTATTACCACCTTGAGTCCTCGAAAGCCAATTTCGAAAGTTGTAACTCAACAAGTAGTGGTTAGTGAAAAGCAATCATCTCAAAGTCCAATCGCAGCTCTAATGAATCGCAAGAAAAGGGGATCCCCATTGAAAGAATCCTCAGTAGAAAAAACTAAGCTTTTTAAAACTGAAGAAAAAACAAATTATATTTCTGATAGTAGTTCAACTAAAGGTAGTATAACCAGTCAAACAAAATTATTGACTCCGAACACCGCAGCTCAAAAAACCGTTGAAATATCAGAAAATACTTCATTTGATTCGTTAAGAAAATCGCCTAGTTTCAATGTTAACATTAATGCATTGAATGAGGAGTTAGCACAAACAGTGCAGGAAACAACTAGAGCTCTTACTGATGCCTTTCAAACACCGAACACGTGTTCTCTACAAGAAGTCACCAATAATCCTCCAAAACTGGAATCTACTGAAGAAACTGATATTGAAACTTTAACCACTCCCCCTCGAAGGAGTATACAATCAAATGATTCCAAATCGGCTAGTCCCATAATATCAACAGCTTCTAAAGCAATAATTGGAAGTCCATTTATAGAGACTAGAAGAGATATTAGCAATGTGTTTGAACTGAGTACAAGCGAAGGGCTCACATCCATAAGTGATTCTAAAGATAACAAGTTTGAATTTGAAAACGCGAAGAAAATGCTATCAGCTACGTCAGATGCATTTGATTTGGAGCCATCAAAATACGAGAATAGGCCGACATCCATCGCAGATAAACTGCTTAAAGCTATAAGTCAAAAGAAAGAGGAGGATAAACAAAGAGTTGAGCCTAAAACTGAAAAAGAAGGTGAAAGTAAATCTACAATTGATAATATTGCAATAGCAAAGAATGTGTTGGGGGGCTTACATGATATTGGAGTCGGATTAATCGAGCCGCTGAATATTAATACTGATTTGCCAGGATCTTCCACTAGTTATATATGTAGTGGAAGCAATTTGGGTATGGAAAAGCTACCAATCATATCGACATTACATAAACCCACCCCTCTTACAAGCCCTGAGACGAAATTAGGTATACTAGAGTCGATTACAGTAAAAAATAATGACTTAACAGAAACCATACAAAAACTTGAATGCGCCATTCAACGGAAAACACCTGTGAGTGGGCTTTCCGTTACAACGACACCAAACACATTTTCCGATGATTCAATGGACAGTACTGATTCCGAACGTCGGCTTGTTATTGAAGATGTATCAGAAGATATTTGTGATACGCTAAAGAGCCCAATCTATACGCAAAACATTGGAGAACAAAAATCAAATATATTGGCTCATAAAGTGGAAGTTATTGCTTTTAAAACAGCATCCCAATCGGGGACCGAAGTTCAAATTTCTCAAAAATCTTCAAATGCAAGTCGATCCCAACAGCTAAGCTCGTCAGTATCACCAACTATAACTATGAGTGGAGCAAATATACTACCAGAGAAATATGACCTATCCATAACAACAACAAATGCAGGTTCCCTAAATATTTTAAATGTGCCAATCACAACAATTGAAAAAAAAGGACCTTTACTCGGATATCAAGAAGCAAAAAATGATACCAATCAAAGTCAACAAGATTCCCGATCGATAGGCGGAGAACAAAATGAAGATACGAAATCGAGTTGTAATGAAAATATTAGCTCAAGGGACAGTTTTAGTATTAAGTCTTTTGAGACTGGAGACATTTCAGCAACAATGAGCTCTTTATCACCTTCATTAGGAAATGCCAAAACTTCAAAGCAACATGCACTGAGAATAGCGGATGTTGTGCCGATCGTATTACCGGACATTCCAGTATCAGTTGTCGTAGCTTCTGGTGCCGTACCATCCGTAAAAGCAGCAGCAGAGGCAGCAGCTGCTGCGGCAACTAGGAATTCACAGACAGACATTAAAACTAATGCCCCTAAAACACTCCCAACTTCAATTATTAGCACCTCTTCTACTTCGTGTTCGATGATAGAGAAAAAACAAGAAACAAAAGTGGTATCGGACGCAGGAGGACATATTAGTAAATCAGAAAACGTGAATTTACTTCCAACTGTATCAGTGTCTCAACTGTCGAGCATACCATCTAATTCAAGATTTTATTTGGACGCGCGTACAGATTTGCGACCTGAGGATGGTGTAAAGCCCATAATAGACATGCAACGGGAAAATACCGAAATAGAATGTTTGAACTCCAAAGAAGTTGATGACAGTTTTCGCTCAAATGAGTTGGCAACAAATTTTGGTGCTGATGGCAATAACGATTCAATAAACCTTCTTTGTGAAGAGACAATTCCTGGCAGCCCCACGCCTGCATTTGGAGGAAAAGAAGAGCCTATGTCAACTTCGTTACCCACAGAAAGTACTTTACTTTTAGATGGCAGCAAAGAAATAGGCAACACAGAGCCGGCTAATATTAATAGCTCTCCGAATGATTCAGCGAGTCATGATGAGAGCAGTGAAGACATAAAAAAGAATTTGGACATAGAAAATGAGATATCACCACGAAAACGTCGTCGAACAAGAAAACAGTCGGAAATTACCATGGTATCAGAACAGCATACCAAAAGGCGAAGGCAAATGGGTTGCATGAAAAAGATTACAGGTTAGTGTGTTGGTATTAAATAATTTTATTGCCAATTTCAAAAACAGCAATACATTTACATATAAATATCCATATATTTATATGCATGAAGTTAATAACTATAAAACTTTATTTTTAGCAGGCTCCGATAGTGACGAAAACTCTGATGGGACATCTCAGCGAAGTACTTTGTCCTCTCGACATCACTTTCAACAGCAGCATTTACAACTCCAAGTATCACAGTCATCTGTTGGAATTCGACCTTGTCCTTATAATTTCTTAGTGCAATTAGGTAACTGCTTTATTATATACATATATTAATCACAATAAGTTTAAGTTTAGTAATGCTTATTATAAATATTAACCATCACTTAACGCTTTTTGAAATTTCGGCTTAGGCTAAATTAGTTTTAGGCATTTTTTTATATTTTGACTATTTACCTAACACATTAAATTTTTAGTACGGAGTTTAGAAATAGTTAATTGAATTAATATGGAAAGATTGATTTTCGGCGGAACTTCAGTTTTCACTGGAACTGCGATGAAAATTTTTTCTGTCAAAAATGTAATTAATTCAATTAGCACTTTTCACAGATGTGTATAGAATAGATTTCTAATATTTCATGTCTGAATATAAAATACTATGTACATATGTATGTATCTTTTTTGTCTTCCAAAACAGATCCTAATATGGGTTCAGAACAGTGCATAACCATTCTGTTAAAACAGATCCAAGAATTACGTAAAACATACAACACTATAAAAGGAGACCTAGCTAGTATTGATCGAAGACGTAAAAAGTTACGGCGACGTGAAAGAGAAAAGAAACAACAAATACAAAATCAACAACAAATTAAAATTGCTTAAGAAATTTTGGCATAAAACAATGATTAAAATAATGAAGTAGAATATAAATAATTCTATACTTAATGATGTTATTACAATACGAAATAAAACTCCTTAATTTTATTAAACCAAAATAAAAAAAGTTTATTCATTTAACACAGGGGATGTGAATATACGTACTCTAATTACTCAAGATACCGAATATCCTCCTTCTAAATTTAAATGATGACCATTCACGAACGTTGATTTACTACTTAATAAATATGCTATTCCGTCGATTACTTCGTTTATCTCGCAAAAACGGTTTAGCGGTATATGTGCTAAGAGCGGACCTGATTTTTTTTCGTCACTCCAATTATCCCGACCCATTTTGGTAAGAACTACAGTTGGATTAACGGAATTCACACGTATTTGCCTGGGTCCAAGTTCCAACGCTAGCGAGCGCGTAAGAGAATCTAAAGCAGCTTTAGTGGCACTATATATCGTATGACCATCGAATGAACGAGATGCAGCCAAAGAAGAAACCATAACTATGCTTGAGCCTGTCTTGAATTTTGGCAAAAGAGCTTGCGTTACGTTGAAGACTGCCTTTATGTTGACGTCAAATGTACTTTAAAAAGAAATTTGTATGAGGATAGTAAAAAAAAGTATATAAAAAAATTTAAAAATTACTCATCAAAATCCTGTTCTGTCAAGTCGGAGAAGGACTTTATAATAGCCACACCAGCATTGTTTACAAGGCCATCAATTTGCGGGAATTTCGAAAGAATGTCCCGAGTATTCTGCCAATTTTTAAGGTCTACAGATATGATTTCTATTGAAGGACAGCTTTCTTTGAGCTCTTTTAGTTTCTCCACTGACTTCGAAATAGCAATTACCTTCGCTCCCGCATTTGACAATTGCTGACACAATAGTCTACCGATCCCTATGCAGGAAAAAGAACCAAAAAATTTTACTTTGTGTTAATTATGGAACAAAATTCTTACTTACCCTGACCAGCTCCTGTTACGACGATCACTTTATTTGCAAAATTTGCTAACATTTCTATTTATTACTAGTGCGGTTCACTTTCTGATAACAGACTGTCAGTAGTTGATCTCAATACTTATATTTTATATTAATAAAGATTTCTTAATAAGTCGGATGTAGGGTTGTCGAAACGAAAAAAAAAACAAAAATTGATATTTTTGAAAATTGTTTGTAAAATTCTTGATTATAAACCCGCATAGCAACCGCATACGAAGTAGTATTTCATATTCTAACATCCATTAATATCAGTTTGCTACAGCAAAATAACACCCGAAAATGCTCAAAACGTAATACCGAGCGATACTTCTTTCGTTAGTTTACTGATTTACAAATAATGATGATTATTTATTAATTGGATTGTGTATCCAAAGCTGCGAAATTATTTTAAGATGCAGCTTCAATAACAAAACTCATTTTTATACCTTCATATATTATATGTACTTACATACAGATAGCAGCATCATTTTCTTTTAAAACAAAAAACAAAAACAGGAAAAATCAGAAACGAAACACCAAGTGTTTGTGAAAGTTAAGGTCAGAAGATAAACGCAGAGAAAAGTTTCAATTGAAGCAATAATGACAGCCCTGGCAAAATTTGAGCAATTCAATTGAACCGAGTTATCTCTGATGTGAGAGAATAAATAGAACATACGGTCAAAGATGACATATGTACGGTGTTTATGCTGATATAGTCTTTATAATTTCTAAATGCGCACAAGATAGCTGTTATCTAGCAAAAATATAGAACAAAATATGTGCATACATACTGTATATACATAATCAAAAAATTTGGTCTTTGAAAAGTTGCACTTCTTGTAAACAAAGTCTTTATATAATTACCGAGAGATATGTACACGTAGATGTTTTTGATAAGTGCAGCTAAGTATTAATCTAGAATGCAGTAGCTCCGTATGAAGTATAGACAATTTTTTTTATTTAATAGTTCTGTTAACCAGATGGGCAATAACAATAGGTACTGAATTTTATTGAATCGCGTTTGTTCAGCCTAATGTTGCAACTACCATCCGTCCATAACAGGCGACGGCAAGTGCCAGATACATACGCAGTTGTTGACGTAGCTGAGAGCGGCGAAATGTTACCAGCTGCCAGTGTGTTTGCACACTTCTGAACAAATTCATAATTTTCGTCAACGAATTTCATAATTTATGTGTTCTTATATAAACGCAAATCAAATATACATGATCTATATNACGGGCTGATGGGTTCACCAATACACTCACACGATTTCGGGCAGCAATGCAAATTTTTTTGTTAATCTTTCTCTTCTGATTCTGATTCTTCGATTTTCTTTTTTTTTATTTTCGAGAAGAACGCAATTTTTATAGTTTTCTCCGCAGCAGATAGCAAAGAACCTAAAAAAGTGAAAAATTTGGATAAGTTTTTTTTACAAGTTGTGGTATAATATAATATTGTCGATTAATTATTTTTTTCATTTTTCTTAACACTTTATTTAAGGGTACTCCATATTTTTTTTTAAATTCTTTTAATGGAGCAGGTTGCGTAAAACGGACACTTTTTTTCTTGCAGCAACAGCACATCTCAATAATATTCGACAAAATTTTTTTAGGTACAACTCCATTAAGATATTAATAACATTATGATTTTTTTTTCATTTTTTACTTTTACTTAGATGTCTTTGTACTTCAAATTTTTTTTGATTATGACGGAGGCGTTCGTGGAGCTGAGAAGCTGCTTTTTTTTTAGAGACTTCTGTATATTCGGTTTTACTTATAATACTTTTTTTTTTTTTGAAAAAGAATTTATTGTTGCATTGTTTTTTCTTTTTTTTTCTATGTAAGCCATGTACATGATTTACGTTAAATATTGATTTTTTTACTGAATCTTAATAATGTTTGTATATATGTAGGGAAAATTTTTTTCAAAGCTGATTTCTTCGTCATCAATGGAGCCGCACATGTTTTTTTGACTTCTACGGCACTGCTGTTGTTTTTTTACGTCCAAATTTTTTTCTTTTGATATCAATGCTGTCGCTCAGCTGTGATCTGTTTTTTTTTCAAGAATGATACACAAGGAAACGAAGAATGACGATGAATTTTTTTATCACGTACACGTATATAAACGATTGTCATTTCGGCCTTTTTTTTGTGATAGGAACATCGTTCAACGAGTTATGTCGTCATGCTTTTTTTACATATGTTGGCTCATATGATCGGAAGCCTTCTTGCAGTTTTTTTTCAAATGATCACAAATCAGCTGTTTTTCATACTTTCTATTTTTTTCTGGGTCAAATTTTCATTCCTTCTCTCTCATTTAATAATTTTTTTTGAGTTTTTGGCTCAACGAACACGATTCAGTAAAGTTTTTTTTTTATTGTTACTGCCCATCTGATCAACGAACAAAACTTGCCTTTTTTTAAACAGGCTAATGGGTTTACCAATACCAAATAACGCGTTTTTTTTACTGTCGCTTCAAGCTGGATCACTCGTGGGATAGACAGTTTTTTTAACTTGTCAGCAATGACATCCAGCACTATTACAAAGGTTTTTTTTTTAAGACGATATTGGTCTATGAATCCACATACAAACAATTTTTTTATCAGCAAATGTAAAAGTAGAATGCCAATTTCACTTACTTTTTTTTCTAGCAGCTCCAACGGATTGCTTTTATGCCTTAAAATTTTTTTTTTTATTTTCTGGTTGGTTTCTCCAAATCCTTCTTTCATTTTTTTTCAATCACTGCCAATGTCCTTTTATTTTTAATTAATAAATTTTTTTGAAGCTAGGACAAAAACTAAATTGAATTGTTGGGTTCTTTTTTTTGTGTATTTGTAGCTATTTCGAATCTCGGCTTAGCTTATTTTTTTTAGAAGCAAAATCAAGTCGGTTTCATAACACAATTTTAATTTTTTTTAAAAAGCGCCTAAGAAAAAATCCGCCAATTCTAAATGTTTTTTTAGAATGATTCTTTGAGAGCAGGTTTTTTTCTCTTTCAATTTTTTTTGCATAGTATTATTGAAATTTGATATTCTGGTGAAATATTTTTTTGTTATTGAAAACAAAAATTAAATTAGAATTATGGGTATTTTTTTTCTACATTGGCTCACAGTCAAACAGTAACAAAAAAAATTAATAAATTAAATTTTTTTTAAGAACAAAACTAAAATTGTATGTTATTTTTTTTTTAGTATTTCTTCGTGTAGTCATGAGCAATATTGTTCCATTCTAATTGTATATTTTTTAAGTCAACTTGATTTCGTATCTCTTTTTTTTAAACTGATTATTATCTTAATAGGACCGAAACTTGTCACTTTTTTTTAATTTCATAGCACTTTGCAACAAATTTCTTTTTAAAATTTTTTTATACACTGTTTTATCCATGGTATTATACTATTATTATTTTTTTTTTAAATCCAAATTTCCATCTCCATACAATTAAATGCCCTTTTTTTTGTTTTACAGTGCTACGTAAACTTTGCTGTTGTAACGCATTTTTTTGTTTTCCCCATATATACCTCTATCCATCTGATCTAAACTTTTTTTATTTATTTTCGTCCGCAAAAATAACGATGTCCCAAAAATTTTTTTCTTTATATAAATGCTTCTTTGCAAACTTCAGCCTTGCATTTTTTTTTTTAGCACTGACATAAGGTTTGATTCGAGCTGTGCGGTTTTTTTAATCAGCTTCTCTGTGGGTTCTTCGTATGGTTTTTGGGTTTTTTTTTCTTCCAAGATATTTTAGCAGTTCCCTACCCAAAGCATTTTTTTTTAAGAAGGGGATTTCGCATATTTTCCGTACAATCTATTTTTTTTCACTTTCGTTAAACGTTTTATTATTAGCCGTTTTAGTTTTTTTTTACACGCTACATACTACTTTCACGCACATAGCTCCTTAGCTCAATTTCACCATTTCCGCGATTTTACGCTGACTTTCGCAATCTTTTTTTTGTTTTATGATAAATTCACGCACTTCAATAATTATTTGGTTTTTTTTTTTGATATACACTCAACCAATGTCAATGTTTGATCGCTTTTTTTGTGGTATTTATTTTGCATGCAATCGTCGACAAGACGCCTTTTTTTACGGTAAATCTTTGTGCATCATTTTTGCTGTGTGGTACTTTTTTTTACTTAAGTTTGTTTTTGCTGTAAATTACATAGAATAATTTTTTTATATAAAATTTTTAGAGCATCAATGAAATGTGTATATCTGCGGCTACTAACATGTCATTCATGTTTTTTGGGAAATTTATTTATTTTTTTGTTAAAACTTGTTTCTTTATAGCTGCATCACTTGGCTGTTTTTTTCTGTATATCTATTAGCTCCTGAAGCAAATGTGAAAGAATTTTTTTGAATTCGTCTTCAACGTAAATAAATTCTAGACTAGGGCTTTTTTTCACGTCGTTTGCCAAGGTCTACTGCTTCTGTCATCCAATTTTTTTCGCAGGCAACCATTTCAACGACTCTTTCATCCCTTCGGTTTTTTTTAATTTACGCTATGCATTAGGGCCACCTCCTGACGTGTTTTCTGGCCTTCAAGTTTTGAGCCGCACGTACATATTTCTTTTGATTTTTTTACCTTAAAGTAAATTGAGTACTTAAAAAATCACCTTATTTATTGAATACTTATATATAAAAAAAAAACTACACAACTTCTATGTTTTTTTAAAGACCCTCGCGGAATATTGAAATAATCCGATTTTTTTTTTTTTATTGGTGATGTCTACTGTATCGGTTTCTATAACACCCCTTTTTTTTTCAAAGAGCCTTATTTTGGTATGTGCGTTTTTTGATTTTTTTTTCCTAAAAAATGTTTTTTTTAAGCATGATTTCGTTATGATTTTTTTTTTTCCAACCGTTCCGAATGCAATTCTCGAATGATTTTTGCAGTTTTCGAATAGAACTCACTGTCGTATTCGCCTTAGGTAGTTTTTTTTATTTGGTAGGATTCGAATTGAAATGCTATTATAGAATTTTTTTTTAGCATTTATTCGAATCGCAATACTTAGTAGGGGCGATGTTTTTTTCAAAAGACTAAATCTCATTTATCCAGACTCCTCTACAATTTTTTTCTCATCCCTGCGGGTTAGGGTTTCAAGAATTTACCTGTTTTTTTTCATGCTTGTCGTAAGAGGCGACATAAAACCAATAGTTCTTTTTTTAGCTGGGCCTTTATACCGAAACGGCCTGGATTTTTTTACGGTTAACGACTGTCGCTCCGAAACATTTTCCAAAAATTGCTTTGTTTTTTTATTTTGCGGTCACAACTAGTTCCTTGATTCATCCTTCATTTTTTTAACTAGCTTACCATGTAATTAAGCAGGGTGCTCCACAGTTTTTTTAAATCAGACAAGATAACAACTCTGCCCACCCCCCAATTTTTTTTTACTTGTTTGTGGCCTCAATGAGAACCGTTTTTTTATTTTTGTATATCTATACAAACTACAATACAATTTAACTGTAATTCAATTTTTTTTTTTATAGAAAATTTAATGCTTTTACACATCGGTAATTATTTTTTTTATGGTCTTATTACAAATAAATTTTCAAGTTGAAAAATTTTTTTTATGTTAATTACACCAAAATAGTCAGATTCGATAATGCCTTTTTTTTGTATATATTGAATGGCCATCTTTGTAATGCATCCAAATTTTTTTTCCTTATTTATAAATGTAATGAATTGGGTACTAATAAACTTATTTTAATTAGCAGCAAAAATTGTATGTAAAAAATGTGGTGATTTTTTTTAATTGTTTTCAAATTTGTCTTTCATTATTTGAAAATATTTTTTTGTAAACACAGAATGTGATATTGAAATTTTGAGAAAAACTTTTTTTTATTACATATTTATTCATTTTTATTATATAAAGATTAATTTTTTTAAGTATATTTTTGTAATTATGGAAATATTTAAGAGCTTTTTTTTTCTCTCCTCGGATTCGGCGAGCCAACTGAATGTCTTTCGTTTTTTTAGTTACGCGTTTGGCATGAATTGCGCACAAGTTGGTATCTTCAAAAAGGCCGACTAAATATGCTTCAGATGCTTCCTATATTCTTTTTTTTAAATACATAATTTGGTAATTTACTAACAATTTACAAATTTTTTTCTATAAAAATCTACCTGTAAAGCACCAATAGCGGCAGATTTTTTTCGTAAATCAGTTTTGAAATCTTGGGCGATTTCGCGCACTTTTTTTTGAAATGGCAATTTTCGGATCAGCAATTCAGTAGACTTTTTTTTTCGACGAATTTCACGCAAAGCTACTGTACCAGGGCGGTATTTTTTTGGCTTCTTTACGCCACCAGTTGAAGGTGCAGATTTACGAGCAGCTTTTGTTGCAAGCTGCTTACGTGGAGCTTTTCCACCAGTTTTTTTTCGGGCAGTTTGCTTAGTACGAGCCATTGTTCTCTACAATTTTTTTCCTGAAATAAAACAAAAAAATATATGCTACGTTATGCATTTTTTTTTTTAAGGTCTTTTAAAATTTTGGCCGCACTGCTTTTTTTTTTTTTTTTTGTGGAGTACAAAGGAAGAATATTCAAATATATTTGCTGTTCGGAGGCAAATATTCAGAAGGTTGGCTCACAGCGGTCTTTTTTTTGCTTTTCAAATTAACAACAAGAAATCAGATTGTTCGTTTTTTTTTAATTCGTGGGTAACAAAAATTACCGACAAAATAGACCTTTTTTTTATGATTAAAATTTTTACAAGATAGTGATGCTGCGGCGTTTTTTTTTGAGTCCCGTTTCAATATTATTTTAGCAGTGGTCTATCTTTTTTTAAATTTTGACGTCTTCTTAGTCTATCATCTACACATATTTTTTTTTAGAAATAGTAATATTTACATTTATTGGGTTATATTTATTTTTTTTTATCCCCTTACAAAATATACAACCTGAATCACTAATATTTTTTTCCACTAATTTATTACATTATTGAAATAACTTGACTTGCTTTTTTTTCGGAAACAATTATAATTACATTTAGATATAAAATATTTTTTTTTCATCATAAGCAGCACCAAAAATTTTGGCTTTAAATGAATTTTTTTGCGAAGCTTGGTACCATATGCAAATATATTACGTACATTTTTTTTATATATGTATCTACACACACACATGCATCCTTTTGTCTTTTTTTTCTTTCCCTCCTTTTTTTTTAATTACGATGATGACATATTTTTTTTAAAGTGTATGTATCTAAGTATACGTAAAATGCATAGCTTTTTTTTCAAGTTTACAGTATATCATCGTATTAACAACTTAATTGTTTTTTTTGAGCCCTACACATATCAAATCACCTATGGGAAAATTATTTTTTTTTTGTTCAAATGAACAATAGCAAGAACCTATCTTGGCCTTTTTTTTGAAAATAGTCAATACCAAACCAAGCACATCGCTTTACTTTTTTTGTTGTATGTATCTAGCAAATAATAAATCCCTTAACAAGTTTTTTTAATAAATATATTTCAATAAATAAAAACCAGCTTCATTATTTTTTTATATAATAAATAGCAAATTATTGAAAATTTACCTTGATTTTTTCTCAATTTATTGTTGATATTGACCACTATTTTAATAACACTTTTTTTAAATACACACGTCTCATGCAATCACCTTCTGCTTCGACTTTTTTTATTAAATGAATTTGGTTCAATCTGCTAAACGACAAGGTTGCCGTACTCGAATTTTCATGTACGTTGTTGAAGTTCGGTAAACGTTTTTTTTTATAGGGCCCTTGCACGATTCGAAAGCTATTCACAAATTTTTTTTTGTTTCTGTGAATATTGCGGTAATCACTACATTATTTTTTTTTTTGAAACTCATTTTTTATTAATAGTTTCTCAAGTTACCATTTTTTTAGATAGGAAATGGATGCTGTAAGTTTTGGTAGTTTTTCTTTTTTTGGCGCTAGTTGGAAATACAATGGCCAGCCAAGTCACCCTTTTTTTGATCCTTCCAACGGAGTGGAGGTCTTCCTCTTCCTCTGCTTCCACCAGCGGACACTGCATCGAATACTATCAAAAGCTTTAAATTTTTTTTCCGTTCGGACGACAAGACCTAGCCAGCGCAGCCGCTGTTTTTTTATTCGCTGAACTATGTCAATATCATCGCATAGCTCGTATTTTTTTTCGTTCCATCGTCTACGATATTCGCCGTTGCCAATGCGTTTTTTTCCATAAATCGTTCGCAAAACTTTTCTCTCGAAGGCTCCTTTTTTTGACTCATCAGATGTTGACATCGTCCACGCTTCTGTGCCATATAGTAGGACCTTCTTGTTGAGTTTGGTTTTCGTTCGCCTAGATTTTTTTTTAATTTTCATTTGCCTACTCTGTCCGTAGTAGCACCTTTTAGAAAGAGTGACTCTACTATAGATTTCAAGGCTGACGTTATTTTTTTTTTTAATACTGGCCCTTAGATAAACGAAATTATCTACGTCTTTTTTTATAATAGCCGAGTTGCGAGAGCGATGACTGTTTTTTTGTTTTTTTGAGACATTCTGTCGTGCCCTCATTCACTACCAGACCCATTTTTTTCGCTTCTTTATCAATGTCGATATCATCGGCGTGCGCCATTTTTTTTACACTCTTATAGATAATTGTACCTTCTCTATTCAGCTTTTTTTTTGGTATTATTTTCTCCAGCAATAAGTTAAAAAAGTCACTTTTTTTGGAATCACCTGATACCTCGTTTTGTATCGAACGGCTCGGCTTTAATATCGAAGAAGAGGTGGTGTGTGTCGATCCCCTTTACATTTTTTTTCTTCAAGATTTGGCACATGGTAAATACCTGGTCAATGTTTTTTTTACTAAGGCTTACTAAACGGTAGTTAGCGCAGACCGTGTTTTTTTCTTTTTTATAGATTGGGCAGAGCACACTTAGGTTCCAATTTTTTTGCATGCTTTCATCCGACCAAATTTTGCAAAGAAGGTAATTTTTTTACCTGATCAGTTCTTCATCGCCGTATTTAAATAGTTCGTTTTTTTATCCATCGGTCCCCGCCGCTTAGTTGTTTCTTAAGCTGGCGATTACTATTCGGACTTATTTATAGTCGGGTATTGGATCAACTTTTTTTTCGTCATCAATTCGAGCTCTCAGAGAGCAGGTGTGCAAGTTTTTTTATAACTGCCCGGCAATCTGACGTGATTGCGTCTTTTCATTTTTTTACCTTCTTGTGTTTGTTGACTGGCGCTCTTGGATATACTTTTTTTTGTGCGTATCTTCGTTGCGACAATATAGTGATCCGAGTTTTTTTTAGGACCTCGGACCGTACCCACATCTCAAACACTAGAGATTTTTTTTTCGTCTACCACAACATGATCGATCTGGTTGTGAGTTTTTTTTTTTGGAGACATCCAAGTAGCTCGGTGAATTTTCTTGCGCTGGAATCTAGTGCTGCAGACAACCATATTTTGGGCCCTGGCGAAGTTTTTTTTCCTCAGCCTATTTGGGGATGTTTCGTCTTGGAGGCTGATTTTTTTAACTGTTGTCTCAAAAATACCTTCTCACTCGAGGCGCTTTTTTTTGGCATGTTTAGTCAAGTCATTCTTCTCTTCGGTCGGAGTTTTTTTGTACATTAGGCTGGTGTTAAAAAATTTCGTTTTGATGCTTTTTTTGGCGAGACGTTCATCCCCTCGAGGGAATGCCAGTACTCTTTTTTTGTTTCTCTCCCACCACGAATCCGGTACTAAGCCTGCGCTTTTTTTTACAGACGCCGTAGTAAATTTCACAAGGACCCACCTTCTTCCGTCCTTGTCCCATCCATCGCATTTCTTGGACTGCCTCTCATTTTTTTTTGATTAAAATTTTTCATTGGATTTTGTTTTTCGTGTGGTTTTTTTCAAACTCTTCGCACAATCGCATGGGGTTCGCCTTCTCCATTTAGATCGCCTCCAAACGGATGTTTGTTGGCTACTCAAGGGATTTTTTTTCTAAGACCGGAAGTTGTGCGCTGCTTGAACCGACGTTTCTCAGCAACGCAAAAAAAAAGAAACTACAGAAGTTATTCTCCTATTTTTTTTGTCGTCCTTATAGGCATCATATTATGACGACGTCGACTTTTTTTTGCTCCTTCTGAAAAGTGGTGAGACAACGATAGTTTATCTTTTTTTAAAATTTCATGAGCAATCTGTGCATCAGCTGTTTCACTTTTTTTTTAAATATTGTTGCGAAAATGCGAAGCGAATGTCAGATGTTTTTTTGGAGCCGATAACTAGTACATTCTAGAAACGATAAAACATTTTTTTTCGATAGCGAACAAATCGATGCTTCTACGCTTTCGTCTTTTTTTTGCCGACTGCTATATAAGGGGACACTCAGCTGCAAGTCATTTTTTTTACAANATGCGAGAAGAATTGGGAAGGTAACGACCACCAATCTCAAGGTAGAGCTAAGAGAGGTGCATGCTCTTGTGAGACAGCGAACGCAAGTTATGAGTGACAAAATGAAGGCCAGGTATGACAAGGCGATGAACTCCGAAGGTTTCCAAAATGGACACATGCCCTTGTGGGCAAGCTTCTCAAGCTCATCTTACTAACGGATCTCTTAATCTTTTTTTTTTTGTCTGCATATGCGTCTTGTTTTCCTATTCAATTCTAGGTATCTATCCTATCTCGTCCTTGCAGTGGTCGTTTACGACGTTGTCTGTTTTCTGCCCACTGGGACGCGGTAATCCTCATCGTACCAGCTGTTTCGACCTTTCTGAAATACAATACTTTCGCTTGCAGCTGTAAGTAGGGAGTTTAAAATATCGTCCCATAGTTCCCTTATACCGATTTGCCCCTCTCAGAGAGCAGGAGTGCAAGTCGAGAAGAAAACGCTCGACAGTCTATGGCATTTGACACATAGAACGACATTTTAAATCAGAAAATTGTACTTCTATGAGATCATTGCAGAAAAATTGAGTTGTGAGCTCTCAACTCATTTTTATTTTATGCTCACTAATTAAAATATTTAATTCTAGTTATGTTCGGTAACTAGGTAGGCAGTAACTATTTTTGCTACTAACAAAATAAGTGTCCAAATTTTGTTAAAATAAATTTAATGATCGCCTGCATACCACCCGGCTTATGTTAAGTATTCCGATGATAATACAATTTTAAGCTTCCGGAAACTACGACGTTGTACAAATGAAATATTAATCGCGTTTATAAAGGGAAAATAAAGCTCTTGCTCTTATTTTATTTAAACAGAATCCAAGAAACTCTTATAAAAATATATAATGTTCAGTTCATATTTCTGGTTTAGATTGCGTTCTGTACATGTAGGAATGCATGATGTCATATCCCGTCAGCTCATAGAACGATTTTCCCACCACTTTTTAATGCCGAAATGACAAATGTGATGTTTAAACTCAGCACTGACGTAAAAGCCGATCAACACAGATGAGCGACAGCATTGATGGCGAAGGTAATCAACTTTGACAAATATTTTCGTTGTTGACGCAGTTCCTCAGCTCCTCGAACGCCTCCGTGATAATCGCTGCTATAAAGACGTCTAAGTAAAATAAAAAATAATGTTCGTTGTACCTTGCAAAGTTTGGTCGAATACTTGTAAATCTCCTACTACTGCAAGACGAGAAGATTACATTCCAGTAAACCTGCTCGATTAACAGAACTTTCCGTACAATATGGAGTGCCCTTAAATAAAAACAATGTAAAGAGTAATGAAGTAGTTAAATAATCGACAATATATTATATTATCACCACAGCTTGTACATGATGCTTATCTATATATTTCACTTTTATACCTTCTTTGCTATGTGCTACGGAGAAAACGATAAAAATGGCGTTCTACTCGAATGTAAGAACAAAAAATAAAACGGATTATCCGTTCAATGATATTCTCCTTCAATTTGTACAGAGAACGAAGTGCGTTGTATTTACGTTCTCTGATGCGTATGTACTCAGAAGAGAAAAATAAACAAAAAATGTGCTTATCTGTTAGTGCTGCCCGAAATCGTGCGAGTGTATTGGTGAACCCATCTTGCAGGGATAACTCAAACGCCATTTATACAAATATGGGTAGATCAATAGTATTATATTGTATAATAATTAATTTACGTTTTAGTATTTACTGTACGTTAATTCAATCTGTTCATTATTCTTTATTAGCCTTTTTCTTTACAATATCTTTTCAATTATCTATTAATTATTATGAACCATGTATATTTGAACGAAATACAACAAGGTCTGATTGTGGCTGAATCGGTTACCATGCAAGAACGGCTGATGGGTTCACCAATACACCCACACAATTTCGGGCAGCACTAACACGTTCTCTGCACTGTCATCATCGGCGTTTCTTCAATTTTATCGATTTATAGGTTTATATCGAAATCTTCTTAATTAACAAAAATTCGATGGATGGTTTTAGTTTTAAAGTCAGCATGTTGTACTTTTCAAAGAAAGCCAGGGTATGAACCTCACGTAATTCGCGCCGAGTACATTGTGTACACTCATTTAAAGACCTACCAGCCTCATCTTTGCCACGTTTACAGTGACATATGTTGTATGAGAGCTCAAAGCATGGACGTATTCTTCTTGCGGCCGAAGAATTCTTTCTTATAATAATTAATTTACCTATATGTATATCCCTTCGATATAGCGGCATCGAAGATGAGAACTTCTGACCCATTTGTTTATGTAGTGATGGCCCAAATTCCAAAATAAAAGTTTAAAATTTTAATAAATTTATGTTCACTAAACTATTGGTATAGCCCTTAAGGATTTTTACTAATTTATCCGCAACAGTTACTGTAAAGTAAGTAAATTTTCAATAAATGATAGTTTTAACTTATTTTATGTATTCAGAAAAAATTAATTAAAATCTTGATAACACACGCACACATATATGCATATATAGTAAATATATATACACATTCAAATTAAGCTTAATCTGCTATTTGTTTTCCGTAACTGAGCTCGCCATGGAATTATATTATCGGCGTCTTCACCTTTGTTGCATTCTTTATCATTAGAAAGAAGGTTCTGATTGATATTATCGCCGGCCATGTGCATGTTACTAAATGTGCTTTGATCATTTTGATCTTTATTTTCCTTATTGCTGTTGTCAAAAGTTCCAGTTGGAAGCGCCTGGGCATCGACTATTGGGGATACTAAGTTAATGTTGTCAATGGAAACAGCTCTGTTCTTAAGGTGCCATGTCTCAGCAACACGATTATTCTCCTCCACTTTAGGCGTGTAAATTGAAGCCCTAGAAAATGAACGTATAAAAAACAAATTTTCATTTCTACTTTACTGTATTTTCGGTACTTTAATTTATTTTCAGTTTCCTCTCTTCTCGCCAACAGATCACGTTTCCACTGAGGAATTTGTGAGAGCCGCCTATTTTCAGCTTCTTTCGCCATTCGATCTTCGAATTCTTTTTTTGCGCGTTCAGCGGCTTTTTTCGCCATCATTTGCCGCTTCCATTCGGGAATGACATTACCCGCCTGGTCTTTTTCTGGAATCTGCAAATAAAGCTTTGAAAGCGAATAAAATGTCCGCTCAATTTATCCCTTAAGTTAAATATCCTTACCTGATCCATATAATTATTTGCCGAAAATTGTTTAGTAATTTCTGAGTAATGTTCAGAGTCGAATTGACCGGCCAACTGCTTTTCCACCTTCATTTTTTTAATACCTGGAATATCTTTTGATATTTTCAATTCAGCAATTAAGTCAGTTTTAAGATAAGCTTCTGTGGAAGTGGTCAGACACTGCATACTCAAACTGCGAGCTGGCATTTGAAAAGGTTTTGGCATTTTCTGAGTATCAGTACGGCGAAGCTATACAAATGATTAAGGATGAAATTGTGTTTTCTTATAAGTATAGACTATAATTATTAGCTTCAGTTTACCTGAACACTATTCAGATCCTGAATGGATATGGCGGAGAGAGGCTGATGTTGTTTTCGTGTGGCAGTATCTTGATTTACTATGGATATATGCTGTGTATTTACGGTTCTTGCATTGCTCTGTTTTTCATTTTGTTGCATCAGAGGATGAATGGGGAGTGGCGGTGGTGGTGGTGGCTTCGGAGGCTCGCAACTTATCCCAAGTTGATTAGCAACCTGGATTTGCATATAATCCTCACTGTCTGTGGACCTGGAAGATAATTATGAATTCATTTAAAAAATTTAACTGAAGTTAATAAAAGTCCATTTGTATGTACATATCTATATACTATATTAAAATAAAATACTCAAATCCTGGCGCTACATAAAGAAATTAATGTCGAAACATTTGACTAACCTTTGCCAAGCTGGATGCTTTCGTAATATCATCATTTTTACTACTGAATTCAAAATAACAGTTAACTTTATCTCGACGTAAAAACTACTTTCGGGGAAATTCGAATAAATTATGAGCATCCACACTAATGCTAAAACTAAAAATAAGTGAAGTGGACCATTGAATTCAACAGACGATGCACGCTCGCATGCTTACATGTAGCACGCGATTAGCAAGGCAAAGAAGATATCTTCTATAAATTAAATGCACTGATTCATTTATGGTATTTATTTATTATTTGGAAGCTACTGTAATTAATTGAACAGGTTTGTAGGTTACCACTACCATATATCTATTGTAATATACATACATACGCATCTACACAGGTATGTAAGTATCAGAGATGGACACTAGTGCATCGGAACTACTTGTACACCACATTTATACTATTCCGTTTTCATGTACGCGTGTTGAAGCATTACTGCAGGCAATTATATTGTGTTTGTTTATTTGTTTTAATTTCTTTTGTTTTTTTCGTGACGACTAAACTGCTGTTCAGGTTTTGGTTTGTTATATTTTGGACATACAACAAACAGCGCATAAAATTTGTTTTTGTAAGAACAACTCCTAATATGTATGTTTGTATACTGTGTGTTGTTGGTAATCAACTTATTTGTTCGCAAGGTTATTTCTTTACCGTTTTATTATTTGATTGATTCCTTGCTTCGACGTTGCGTTTTATTTGATTCAAATTTTATTAACTAATTTTTCGTTCCTACGTTTATACCCTGCTTATTATACATAGTATTTGTACTTATTCCTGTCGCTAGCCGAAGATTCAAGTGTGCAGTACGATTTTCACTAGTATAAAGACAATGTATGAAAATATGAAACTGAAATTGAGTCAGTATTGTTTTGCTTGTTATATGCATTTGTATGTACATATGTTGGTACACAGAAGGTGTGTATTAGTTTGAGTTAATATTATATAATATTTCCCAATGCAAATGAAATAAACGCGCAAGTTTAAATACGTTATGTATTTTTTGGCAACATAATATGAATTAGAATTAATATGATAATTATTATGTTAGTTGGCCAAAGTGAATTGTATTCGAAACTAAATAAAATTATGGCCGAATGTTATTTTTCGTACAATATATACTCCACAGTGTGTTATGCTGTAGGTATTATGAAGAGCAACTTTTGGACTAATTTCAAAACTATATGTCCATCCCAAGGACATCAGAATGTTAATTGGACTATACTTTTTGTATGGATTGTGGTTACTTTTGGATAATGTGCAAGGAGTAGTCGCGTTGCGTGTACATGTTACTTGTATACAAAAATACGTACATATTTTTTTAGAAACTTAATCAAGTGGTGGGGGTGAAATCATCCCTTGTGGGAACTTGAAGCTCTTAAGAAGATATTTCACAAAATTTTGAAGTTCCACTCACCTGCTGGACGATGGACAGGATCGTTTATCACTTATACTTTTTAGATATTCAGATGGTTTTATGAGATGTGTAACACCATCCTGTGATTTGTTTGGAAAACTGGGAGGCACAAAAGGCAGCACTAGTTGTTTGTTAACTAAATTCGGCCCTCCTGGCCGAGTGCTGTGGCTAGCACCGACTGTATTGTTATTTAAATTATTGTAGCCATATTGTGTTTGTAGTTCGTAATGGCCTTCGGTTGTGGAGCTATAAGCTTGCGATTGCTGCTGTACATCTAAGTGGTGTAAGTTGTGATTCTGTGATTGAGTTCTCTCATTTGGATGAATAGTGTGATAGCTGCTGCATGCAATATTTTTGTTGTGATAGTTGTTGATTTGTTCATTTTGTGGATTAGAACTAATGGTTGAAATGGGAGTTGTCTGTTGTATATTTCCGCTACTATCGGCATTAAGAAGTTTAGCTTTCTTATTTGCTGTAACATAGCAAGAATTTGATTAACGATAAACATAAAGCATAAAAATGTTGTAAACTGGTAAATTAGTGAGAATTTCAAATATTGTTTATTATTTTAACAGCTGGCAAAAAAGGAAGGTTGATGACTTGGTCAGCAGTCCCGCTAAGCAATTAGGTGGGCTATTTGTGTTAACATGTGTGTACTGGGCAAGATATCATATCTCACCCGACGGAGTTTTATGCACTTGCAAATTCTCATCATTGTTTATTTTAACACATTTTGGTTGGAATTGAATTAACACTTTGTAGACATACATACATAAAGTGCGAAAGTAGAGTACGAAAAATCCTAAGCAATGTTTGCAAGGAAACATTTTAATCTATTTAAACGCAAATACAGTAAAAATTTGAATTTGAAGCTAGAAAAAAAGTTTTAATACATTTTACTATGACCGATGTTTTAAGTAAATTGTCTTACCCATTGCGAAAATTAAAACAAATTACATAAGGACGTTCAGGTAGCAGTTAGTGCTCAAAGTCATACTTTTATAGAACTTCTATTATTTGGACAATAATTTACAGAAGAAACTTTGAGGAACCTCTGCACGAACTCAAGCCAAACGTAAACTTTTGTTTACGAGAAAATACTTATTATATTTCGTTGGACAGAATCTTCGAAGACACTTCATTTTGAAGATGAGAAATAGATTTTCAAGAGATTATTAAGTTTAGGTTTTAGTTTTGCTCAACTAAAGATACAACTTTCACATTTTCATTGCAAAGACACATGCATACCTAAATATGAATAAACGAGCGCTTATGGTGCACATACTCATAACTGCTATTTACTCACCGGAGGATCTCTTTATAGATATATTATGTACATACGTGTACAAACTCTCAAAGTAACATAGGCAAAAGTTTATTCACCCAGACAGATGGAAAAAAATACGCCAATTTTATAAACCATGGTCCTATCGTTTCCCTCGTACACCCTCGTTGTTGTATTAAAAAAATGATTTTGACAAAAATGAAATAATTGTTTAGCATGCATGTACTCATATACGCTTATTGGTAAATATTACTTACAACGAATGTGAAATATGTCAAAGTAAGACAATCGAAGAGTGAAATAATTTCTCCGAGAAAACTTTTTTTGTCCTAACATGTAGACAAAATATGTGTAATGCTAATTCAGTTTTCTTAAAATCCAAAACTTTTAAAGAAGATTACATTAATTTATTACTGATTTGAACAACCAACTGACGAGCGTTGGTCAAGTTTTTTAGTAGCGTTTTAGAGTATACTATCGATGCAACTGAAGTACTTATGAGCATTGCAATTTGTTGCAGCCATATACAGCGGTGCTGTGGTACAGTGGAGTGTCGTATAAAGTAACGTTTCAACTGTCATTAAATACATTCATAGATAAGTGCACTTGTGTTTTGCACATAAGCCTTTGATTGCATGTATGCAATTGTGGTTTGAAGTCAAGAATAACCCAATAAGCCAACTCTGTGGCATTTGTATGTACGTAGAAGCGACTAATAATAAATAATAAAGACGCCGCGTTATATTTTTTTTTTAATTCTAGTACGCTCTATTTATAACTAAAAGTGCAAGTGCAAGGGAGTCTCTAACAAAGACCTGAATATAATTATATTTTTATTTCAACTGCAGATTGATATAAAAATCATCGGAGTGCTTAAAAAAGTGTTTAAGTTTCTTGCTACCTTTGAAGAAATTAATACTTTAAGCGCGACATTTGCCTTACTTTACTTCATACAAAATGTTTTGGTTTGTTGGGAAATATATGTTACTAAATGAATAACCCGTCTAAAAGCAGGTAAAACTGCACAATTTCACCTTCACTTTCATAACATTGCAGTATGATCAGGCATACCAGGCATACTGATGGGAGTGTATTGAACATGTGTGTGAGTGAAAAATAAGGAAAGTTGCCCGACCAGCTGGTCTAGTAATAGATTTTTGGTTAGCCAAGGTTTAAAACCCAAAAGATATATAGTAATGGCTGATGCATGTATGTATGTATATGGGATTGACCTTTATAGCTTTCAATTTAATCTCTACGAGTATATAAACTTGTAATGAGGAAATGGTGGATGTACAACGAAAAACGACAACAAAATTTCGCCACATGTGCATACTTATTAATTGAGAATAAATGGGATTTGAAATACAAAATTGATCTTGCCTTTAGTTATGTTGGAAGCAAGCTATTGTTTTATTAAATATTTTCCATTGCTATAGAATCGGTATTTTTATTTTATTTTATTGCAATATTGGATTTGTAAACCATTGAAAGAGATGCCCCATTAGTGGAAAAATATTGTATTATGTACTTGTACATACCTACATCCTTAAAGTTGTATTTCTTACCAGATATTGTTGACATCGTTCGGTTATGCTTACTTCGAATTAACTCCGAAGGCCGAAGACTTGGTTCCTCAACGACTTCAAGACCCGAATCCGAATCTATATTCTCTAGGTTGGGATTCGAGCTACTCATGAATAAGTTCAATGGTTCCACTGCAGCTATCTGTTCGCTTTTGTGATAGGCGGCATTCATCGGCGGAGGCAGTGGAGGAGGTGGTGGCCCATTTGCTTAAATAATTCGCAAAAATTTACAAACTTATTTTTGTGTAAATATATTTTTAAAGTAAATATATAATATAAATGTATAGAATAGTTATACATATATTTAGTATGTTTCTATGTGCCCACATGCACATATTTTCACCAGGTAAAACAAAAATGCTTCTTATGTAGTGAAGAAAAAAAACTTAGTTTTTTTTTTAATTCTAAATTCACGCTTTTGTGCATCCAGCGCATATATGCGTAAAATTGTACGTTGCATTGCGTATTAATCATCTGCATATGTTATATTTTTTCGGTAATATTTATAATATATTTATTTAAAAAGATAGTTTAGTTTTTGTATGACCAAAATGTTCCAAAACTTTGTTGTTGCCTTTATTATTGATCAAGGCTATTTTTGTTTACAATTCGCGAAAATGGACTACAGCAGATTGCGTGAAATCGATATTCGTATCTATTTTGTAGAACCCGAAAGTATGTACATGTGTAGGTATATATTATATGTATGTGTTTTGTGGATCATACCTATTGCTATGCTTTGCATTGGCGGAGCAGATAAAACTCGTTTCAAGTGGCGATCGTATGTGCTTCCGTCATTATTGCACATTGGCTGATGTACGAGTAAGTTGGTGGAGCTCCCACTGTTAACAGTATCGAGATTATTACGAATAATCGAGTTCTTGTGTGATTGTTTAGTGCGCTCTGCAATATCCTCTATTGGACACACACTTTCGTATGTATCGCTCTTTATGCCACAATTGCTATTGCTACCGTTATTTGTGTTGATTTGGTTCATTAGATTCACATTTTTAGCAGCATAACTTTCTTTGTGGGTGAGTTCGTATTTGTATTTGCTATATAACCCTATAGTCGATTGCGATTTATTACGATTAAGGAATTCACCTTTATACTTATTGTTCATATTCTGAAATTGAAAGAAATTATGCTTATAAATGTAGCGACGTTTCAAGGCATTTCGTCCGACCAATAATTTCCGTAGTTTATTTTCTTAAAATCTTTGGTAACTAAATATTAATTTGGTAGATGAACATTAATATTGTGCTTTCTAAGTTTAAAAAATAAATTTAAAATTGAAAAATAACTATATAATTCATTATTTACAAAACATTTATAAGCGAATCTAACTATACTTAATATTTTCTTTTCAAGAATTTTTCATTAAGCAACTCATTTGAAGTTGACTTTCAGATTTGATGGTTTTTATGATATTTCTTTTATCCTGATTTTTAACCCGTAATAATTTAGATTTGTTTCTATTCTATTGCCATTTAAATTACGTTTAAGACGAATAAAAAGTTATAGTTAGATTAAAAGTTGCTACAGCATACGTCTGTCTCTGAATCAAAACGGTTACAGTACGTGAAATGAGGTGGATGTACGAGTATATATAATATCAACATACGTTAGTTTTGTTGTTGTTGTTATTGTAGCGGTTGCTCTGTCCCACTTAGGGACAGGTTAGTTAGTCTAAGCCACCGAGGTCATCTAACGGGAAGTCCAAAGCTTACGCATCTAGGGCTTTGGGAGGCATGCAAAGAAATGGTTCGTGTCGCGTGATGTTGGGGTCGAATCTGGATAAGTAGGAGTTTCTCCTGCTACAATATCTAGACCTAAGTGGTGCGGTACTTCCGGGGGCTTGAGCTTTTCCTCTGCTACGGGTGGCGAGTCTTTGAAGGTATTAACTGACTCCTAGTGAATGGCGTTCAGTGTCTGTTGTTGTTGTTGTAATTGAAGAAATATTAACCAAAGTAGTTTTTAGTGAATTTTGCGGGAGTGTCACTCCTTGGCCGAATAAAAATCCGGTTTGTTCCGGTAAAAAGACTCGACTATCGAGGGGAACTTTTGGGTTTTATTCGCCTTTCACAACAGGCATGCCTTACCGCGATTAAATGCTCGCCATCCAGTACCGCGGGTGTTTTACGTGTTGATGGTTAGTGTATTTCAAATCTAGCACTTCCTTTCTCGTTCGTCCCCGGTGCCCAAATCGGTACAGTAAAGACTATATTCCTTCGTCTAGCTAGTGAAAAGGGTAGCCGAGGATTTGGTCGGCCATATTTTTAGTCGTCGTGCAGTGAGTGGAATAGTGGGGTAAACTCACAGAGTGACTCCTTGTCGTGTGATTTCTTCAACTACTACTATAATAGTGTATAACTACTGGCGTACGCCGATGATATTGACATTATCGGTTTAAATAACCGCCCCGTAGTGGTAGTGTACGAGGACAAGACGAAATATCTCCTGTCATCAAACAAACAGTCATCGCATTCGCCACTTCGCTCCTACGTCACTGTTGACAGTCATAATTTTGAAGTCGTAGATAATTTCATCTACCTAGGAACCAGCATCAACACCAACAATAATGTCTGCCTTGAAATCCTACGCAGAATCACTCTTGCCAACAGGTGCTACTTTGGACTGAGGACGCAATTGAAAAGTAAAGTCCTCTCTCGGGGAACGAAAACCAAACTCTACAAGTCATGTACGATGACAGCATCTGATAAGTCGGCGTTGGGAGTTTTCGAGAGAAAGGTTTTGCGTAAGATTAATGGTCCTTTGCGCATTGGCAACGGCGAATATCGCAGACGACGGAACGATGAGCTGTACGAACTATACGGCGGCATTAATACAGTTCAGCAAATCAAGAAGCAGCAGCTACGCTGGCTAGGTCATGTGGTCCGGATGGATGCGAATACTCCAGCTTTGAAAGTTTTCGATGCAGTACCCCCCGGTGGAAGCAGAGGAAGAGGAAGACCTCCACTCCGTTGGAAAGACCAGGTAGAGAAGGTCATTTTGAATTGGCGCCAAACAGCACAAAAATGGAACGAGTGGCACAGTGTTGTTAAATCGGCCAAAATCGCGTAAGCGATGTCTGCGCCAGTAAAGTAAGTAAGTAAGTATTTCATAGCATAATAGAGATAACTGGATTGAGAATTATTAGATAATAGATAATTTTGGATGTTGATCGAAGCAGTACTCGAACCCTGGCCTTAAGAATGGCAGTACTCGATTCCAACCATTCAGCTATTTTGACCGGTACGTTAATAAAAAAATTGTGAAGCAATTGTTGTGACGCCATTACGTGCTTAAAAAGTTAGTGTTTGGTGTGCTTCAAAAATGAAGACAGACATTATAATACCGTCAATGGGAAATGCCTTGGAAGAGAATATTCGCGCGTATCTGCTGACATTCGGTCTCAATTGCTGCAAAAAGTGGACAAAAATTCCCCATCTCGGCTGGAATTTATTTGAACCAGCCGAGCCGCTCACTTGCGAATGGCAAACAATTATCTAATAATAAATAATAACATTGAATTATATGCGTCTAAAAAAATCGTTTACATAAAATTTCATTCAGTTTTATGTACGAATGTATCCACTTAAAATAGGTAACGTATGGAAATGCAGAAAGTTAGCTATTGTAGTAAATGGTCTACCATTTACATTACATCTACCATTTGCGTAAAATGAATGACTAAAAGTTTTTTCTACTGTAGTAGTTTATGCATTACATTTGTTATTTTTCTGCTTGGAAGAAGTATTGTATAGCCCACTTTCCAGCTGGGTATTTACATATATATGAATACAAGAAGGGGATGCCACTTACGTGATTGCTGTATTGAAGTACAACGTCTGTGCTACGAGTTGAGGAAGTGCTAGCTGAGCGTGAATGTGATCCACTGTCACGGGATCGCGATCGTCCAGAACCGAATTTATGTTTATTTTTCCGAGCCTCTTCACGCACTAAATATATATCCTCGTAGTCATGGTCGTGCGAACTTTCTTGTTTTACCTTGTCACTGTTTAAATAGTTTATTTCTGCTTGCTTAGAACTTTGACTTTGATTATCGTCTTTGATATTGTTGGCAATGCAAATATTATTTTTATTATAATTCAGTTCGGACGTTACATTTTCATTAATTTTCCTATTATTATTAGTGGTGGTTTTTGTACCAGTACTGGCGCTGATGATATGATCGCGACTATCAACTCCATTGTTACATTTAGGGTGAATATTGAAGCTTTGGCTCCGCAGATTGTTCGCTTTGCATAAATTTCTACTTGATTGGACAGAAACGGAAATAGATTCATCTGATCCGCTACCAGCGCCACTCGAACTGGAATGGACATCTGCTTGCACGATAACCGCATTATTTATCGTATTAGCTTTGTCATTTTTCTTTTGACTATAAGATTTATGTCGATTTATTTTCAGCTGAGAGTGCGAAATACTACTACAGTCAGAGTCAAACAATTCTCGGACTCGATTGTAAATTAGTTCTTGTGGATCATGAAGGAAGAATGATTCCCCAGAAACGCTACCATTCGGAGATGGAGGAGTAAACAAATTATTTCGCATTGGGTTAATATACAAACCATCATTTGGCACTATTTGTCCGTTGTATAATTTTTCATTAGATGAACGTGACTGTTGAGAATGTGCATATATAGCGTCAACACGCTTGAGACCCATTGTGCTGGAGGGTGGATGCAAATAGAATGGTTCAATATCTGAGCTTAAAGTCGACGATGTCTTCGATTTGATGGTGTTACTGCAACTTGTTGGTTTACTGCTATTCGAGTTACAACTTCCAAGTGAGCAGTTGTTGGTGCAGTTGCCGGTGCAAATTTGCGGTTCTTGTACATGCTTATTGGACAATGAACCAGTTTTTTGCCGTTGCGTGGGGTTCTTGTCACGGCAACTATACTCTATTGTGCTGCCGTGCTGAACGAGCACGTTAAGGCACTTGAATTAACCAAAATAAAAGACACACGCAGAAAAAAAATGTAATATAGATATTAAAAAATATAAGGGAGTGATAAAAATATTAAATTCAAAGTGAACTTGAAATACCCTACCTCTACTTGTTGATTCTCTGCAGCATCGTTGATTGGTGATTTACCATACTTGTCCAAGGACAGTTTCGCCCCATGCTTAAGTAACCACCGCACTACAGAAAGATGGCCTCTTGAAGCCGCGAAATGTAGTGGTGTAGCGCCATCCCCGTCACGTAAATTGGGGTCAACTCCTTGATCTTGTACCTTTTTATATATATAAAAGTATAATTAATGATGAGGTTTTACTTTTAAATTTCTTTTGTCGTGACTACAGACTTCGGAAACGGATATATGGAAAAAGAAGCCCAAAATTTCATTTTTAGTATCTTAAGTCGGAATAAGTCATAATGCGTGTTTTTGAAAAATATTTTCTTTGGGTTTCTCGAGTCCAGAATTTCAACTTTTGTGCTTTTATTCCTTTTTCTGGATAATAAAATAGATCATGTGTCAACTAATGTTGACACAGTTTGATCTATTAAAAAACAAGATATAATATAATTGACGTTTTGTAACCGTTGAAGCGATTTTCGGCAGATCTCCGGCCGGTCAGAAATACATTCGAAGGCTTGACACTTTCTATAATTTTAGATGGCCGTCAGAATAGAAGAACGCACTGAGTGGCTAGTTATTGAAGACAAATCCCCTAATGAGCCAAACATAGAAAGTCCACTAAAGCTATTTTCGGCTAAAATGATATAAAAACAGTGTACTTATTCTGACCTCTAAAAAAAGGTAATCTTCGTAGTCGAACAAATTTACAATAAAGAAATTAATTTTGCAAGTTTCGTTTATTTATTTTAAATTATTGAATTTTCTTGGGATTATTGAGTGTTTTGGTTTTATCGTATAATTAATTGATCTCTGTAGTAGCTTGCAAACTTACCATCCACTTAAGACAGTCTAAGCATCCCATTTGAGAAGCAGCATGTATCGGTGCCATACCGTCGCGTGCACGTACATAGAGTGAACCGCCTGCTTCAAGCACTAAAAACTTTAGCACTTCCAAGTGCCCTTCTTGTGCGGCCAAGTAGACCGGTGTGACATCGTTGTCCATTTGTGTGTTTGCACTGTATACAGAAATATTTGTATAAGATATCCTGGTCAACAATCTGAATACAATTTAATTTCCTTTCACAAATATTTACAACACTTACCGAAAGATTTTTACAAGTTTCTTATTTGTAACAGAATGACCATGCTCATTGTGAAAACTTTATAATAATTAACAACCGAGAATAAACGATTTTTGCTATAAATTTTAATAGCCTAACTATTAATACGAAAACCCGCATTATGCTTTTGGCGTGAGCCAATAAACTAGTAGATGAAAATAAAGCTATGACCTTCTGGGGTTTTATTTGATGCAATGAGAGGCAATAATTACTTTTCGGGTATTTTCATATCTTCAAACGCTAATTTTGTGAATTGAGTTCTGCTAAAGCATTACGTCCTTAATTAAAAAAGGGTAAATATGAGAAACCTTTGATACCATCGTAGAGGTTTACAGTATTGAATCTTTTAAAATTTTTAGAAATCTGTCTCTCAGGGTTTGCCTGTCAAATATAATATAATACATAATTAAAATGATTTAGAAATCAGGTAATATCAACTGTATTCCAATGTTAACAAACAAAGTGGCGCTTGTAAGCCTCAAGGAAGGTTCAAACATATCTATTGAATATTTTTCAAATATCTATTTTATAAACTATTTTAGAGTCATGTGAATTTTATTCTTTATTTTAAAGAAAAAAAATTGAGATTTAGTTGCCCATATTTTGGACACAATATTAGCATTGTTAAGTTGCTAATAACTTCGTAGATAAATTGTACTTTTAAATATACATAATTCTGTACAAGTTGGTGCATTTAAGAACAACGTTTGAAAAAATAATAAGTTTCTAACATTCAATTTAAGTTTAAAATTCAATTCATGTTTACTGAACACTGTTTTTAAAATTAAGAAAAACAATTGATATATAATGTAAGCAAGGAACATTTGCCACTTCTACCTTTGATTGTATTGTACAAAAGACTTAAGACAGCAACCTTTAAATAACCGTAGTTGTGGCTTACCTTACAACACTGCGTCGGTTGTTATGTTCTTTACGTACAACAGCAACGTCTTCATTGGAGAGCTTTTTATCTTTTCCCACATTTATATCCATATTTTCAGCTAAATCTGAGAAATCATCATCAGACAGGTGTTGTGGTAAGTTATGTAGATCACCACTAACACCATTCACCTCAGCCACAACAGAGGAAATGTCGTTGTTTGATTTACTTTTAACTTTGCTGCGGCGGTAAGAGGTGAAGCTGGTGGTCATTCTACTGAAAATGCCTTTTCTGGCACTGATTGTAGAGAAGTAGCTGCTTCATTACCGTAGTGTCGAAGATAGAAAACAAGGAGAGAGGCGTGAGAGACAGTGATACGAAGGATTAGAAGTTGGGATGTGTTAAACAATGAAAACTGATTCACATAAAAATTGCTTCGTTAAAGATAACAGATGAAACTTTGAGAAAAAAGCAAAACGAGAGTATGCCCTAATGAACGCCTTAAATTTTCCATAAATTTTCTGATAACTTTACATTTGGTGCTTCTTTGTTAAACATTGCAAAGTTTAGCTTTACAAATATAGAAAATTTTTAGTGTTGATTTTACTTCCCTGTCCGATATAAAAATTATGTTTTTTATTGGAATATTGGAGAAGTGTAAAAGAGTAGGACAACTTTTTGCATCACCCCGTTCATTCGCCGAAAACTTTTTAAGTGAACCAACCCATGTAAATACATATATCGGACAAATCTATAAATAAAATGTAAGATAAAGCGAGAAGGAACTCTTATGTGAATCAACTTTAAGGATTTTTATAAGCTCAGTTAATGTGAAAAATAAGTAAACTTTATCTTAATTAATGGAAAACTGAACTAGACTTAAAATAGTAATAAATTGAAATAATTTGAGTTTGAATGTATTAAGTATTTCTAAAAATATAAAAAGCTACACAAAACAATTAATTTTCAAGTGTAACTTAAATGTATAATGTATATGTATATATATGTAATATATGGTAGGTATGCGTTAATATAAATTTAAAATTTTCGATATTATTTGGTGTTCATAGAGTCAAACATTTTCACTTTTTGTTGTTTTTTCTATGGAAACTTTCACAATTGACACACCGTTATGATTGCACGTAAGGGGAAATATAAGATTGGCCTCTCACACAAATTAATTTCTGGATTAAACACATACTGATGTATGTACAAATGACATAAGTACTGGCATTGAAAACAGATTGCATTTTATACTAAAAGCCAAATATGTATGTATATATGAGCATTTAATTGTACACTTTTTATAAATTAAACATTTAATTTATTAATTATATTAATTTGTGTGTGTGTCCGTTAACGCAGACTGAGAAAACGGAATGCGCAACATTACCGCTTGAATTTTCCACAATGAATGCTTCAAAAGTAGCACCTGATCAACTAAAGCAGCTCTACCCGGTTTCTTTAGCACACAGCTTTAATTGGTTCGACTCAGTTGAAAGAAGCAGCTTTGCTTGCACACATACATTCGTGTGTACACATGCACATTCTCTAGAGCTCTGCGATATGAAAAGAAAAATCCATGAATAGGCTAGAGTAAAAGCCGATATACGTACAAAAGTGCATACATACATATGAAAATGTACCTCTCTCATTTTCCTGAATTATACTCTTCGAATAAATTTTGGTATTGTTTTACACTACCTTCTGTTCTTGCATCAACTTTGTCGATCATTGTGCGCCTACCTACATATGTATATGCATATATAAAGTGTGAGCTACCTCTGTAGTTGTATACACATTTATAATAAATATGCTACCCAACTGGAAAGTTGATTTTAACATTACCTTAAAGACTTTCCGCATATATCCACTTAGCTATATGCACATATTTAAACTTATGTATCGTATGTGACCTTATTTTAACCCACTTAACAAAATTACCTTAAAAGCATTTTAAAGCATAATATATAAAACAAATGCCTATAAGTTTTGAGTTGAGGTTGGTATGGGTAATTCAAAAAGTTTTAATATAATATATTACTCTTACTTTCACAAAACTTTTTGTTACATCTCGTCTTTACAAATTTATATGTACTCTTATGTGTACATACATAAATATACAGCCTATGGTACTACGTACTATACTATACATCAATTATTTAAGATTTTGTACCTTTTCATTATTATGGACGCTTTTAAAATTGCAAAATGGGATTAAAATTTTCTTAAATTAGCCAAAGCATTATTCAAATTCACTACTTTTGATAACAGTAAGTATTGTACGTATGAAGCGATTCGGCTCGATGATTTTCGCAGTAATAGCCTCTATAAACTTCTTCATTTTAATTGGGCAGAATCTTGTAACTGCAGGAGAATGAAAGCACGTTCCACAATTGTGAGCATAAATCAGTAGCACCACTTTAATACCACCAACCACATTAACAAATGTTAATTATAAAAGGTTCAACATTTTATATTATGCATTATTTTATACATACGAGTATATTTATAAGCGCATAAAACAAATATACATATATGTATACGTGCATCCACCGAACGGACGACCAATTTATTTATTTATGCTTGTAACGCGTTCCGAAGTGTGGAAAATGCAAAGAAAATCAGTTTCTGTTACACGCAAAAACTAGCCACGGCCGACTGCTTTTCCATCATCTTGTACCAAACATAAAGCGTGACCACTGAGTCCGAATGAACTACCGCTTACTTCAAGATACTGAATACGAATACAAAATGTTAGCGATCATTCAAGCAAACATTGAAGAAACCCGTTGGTCGTTGGTGCACTAAAAGCGGCACAACGGCGGTCAGAGTATTGTGCCCCATTCCGTACTTTTAGCCTTGCAGCCATAACTCGACCACACTCAAATACAAATGCAGTTGAATGTCGAAAACAGAGAGGCGGACATCGGCCGATTTGAGTAATAATCTCAGCAAACTTTCTTCACACACTTGCTAGTGCTGCTGTAGACAGTTAGCAGAGATTATAAAATGTGGTAGAAGAACGAGATTCTCAGAGATCGTTTTGTTCACCTACTTTTCTTTGAACCATCAACCATCGATATTTATGATTGCTGTTGTGGACAATTTGATAATGCAAAGCTCTAGTTTTTATGAATATAGAGACATGTACAAATGTTGTGTAGTATGACTATCCATTAGTCTACATTTTCTTATGCTACCTTCCATTTGTATGTGCATAATTACACCTACATATGCATGTACATATGAACATTCACATACAGTATAGACTACAAAATCCAAAACGCCAAGTTGTAGATAAATTTAATTCGGAAAAGTTGACAATCCAAGCTATTTTTCGAGTCTCCACTGTGTTACGAATAATTGGAACTAAATTGTTGTGTTTCTACTTCATATCTAATTAAGACTTATGTGTGTATATATTTTTTTAAATATTTTTAATTTTCCTTTTATATTTTCATTTACAATCAAAATATATATATGAGCATGCCTTGTGTTAGACAGCGAGCTTACATAGAATATTGTCGTTAGTTGTCAATTATTTACTGATTTAAATACAGTATAGACAACTACACTTGGCAGTAAGTATGCGCTATACATGAATGTAAGTGAGCACAGAGAAGATATCTTGTAGCAATTGCCTTTCCCAATTATGTTATTAACCTTTTTCGAATGTACACTCCAACATATATGGGCATTTCCACAGGTCACCGTGCAAATTGATATATTCGTACATACCGTAATCATTTAAAAGTACAATTCATGGGTTTTGTTTTTATTTTATTTTACTTTACCTAATCAATTAACAAAATATGTTTCTATGCCAACAACTACTTCCAATCGCTTTTATACATTTCTTGAACATGAAACTTTGGTTCGAAGTGTGTAAGTACTATTGTAGATGAAGAAGAGAGTCTGTCTGTTCAGGTGCTTTATCGCGAACTATGTATGATCTCCTTTTCAGATATGAGATTTTGGGTTAGAAATTCGTGGAAAAGTATCTAAGAGCGTGAAATTTTGTATTCTACACCAATAAATTTAGACACTGAAAATCATCGAAAATGGAAGACTATAATCGATTTTCCAGATATGAGATTTATATACATAAAATATAGTATATATTACTACGCTTATAACTCTAGAATGCTTAGACTGATTTCGATGATTCGGATCGCGAAGTGGATCTATTTTAAAAAATCGTATTTTGGGTTCAATTTTCTTTAAATTTGGTACACGGGTAGTTTTACGCTAAGTTTAAGACGACCACTACTTTTTCTACCCACCTATTCCAAAAATTTTTAATTAGGGTTTTTTCAACGTCCAAAATTATAGAATATACATTTATCTAAATGTGGCCGCTCTACGATAGAGAATGAATGTCAAGATCTCCGAGTGTATTTCTGATATGTAATAATGTAATAACGGGTCCCCATACAATAAATTGTACTACCTCTATTTGTTGGAAAAACATCAAAGTATAAGCCACAAATTGGGAATACAAAGCGACAACTATATATGTACAAGTTTAAAAAATTTTTTTAAAAAAATTATAGTTTTTCATAAGTTAAGATCGATTTGGCCGATTTGGCTTATCTTTTTTTCAATTGTTCGTATTTAACAGGTAGATGTTTTTAAGAAAGAAAATGTAATTTTACTGATATGGACCAAGGACTGATTTACAAGAAGAAAATCTTCTCTTTTATTCAAAATGAAGAGTAATACGCAGATGTACGTTGCCTGCGTGCTGGCAAACTGTCTTTGGTTTTTTATCACACTAAACTTTATGTTTTTTGGTGGCAATGCAAAGACGTAGAATTAAGGCGAGACGAAGTTCGGGAAAGGTTCGCTCGATCTTGTAAATGTTCCTATCTCCGTAAGGTTGGAGCGGGGAGCATCGTGAAATATGGGACGTCTTAATCGGCTCGAGGTCGGGAGTCCATCGTTTCATTGTTTTCTGTGCGTGCTCTGTATTGAGACAATTTCACTTTACCTAGCTTGAATCTTAAAACTTTAGTCTTTTTTGTGGAAGGTAGACCTCAGCATTTTCCGTGATAGACGATTGGAATGTTTGCCCGAAGTTAAGATGACATTTACAGTTTAAGCTACTTTCGAACAATCGATGTAATTTTTTGAAATACACTGGAGAAATTGAGTGACGATCGCAATTAGATCAACAGAGAACATCTGTCTTCAGCTATGCTAAAGTCTTTATACCCTTTATGGCCATATCAAATTCAGGGTGTTTTATTTTAGGATGAAATATCTGATTCTCATATCCAAAAAATTGGTTGGAGGGGACTTTATGATGAATTTTTCCGATTTCGATTAATTTGAATGTCAATGCTTATTTGTATATATAAATTTCATACTCTTAGACATATTTTTGACGGACTTGTATGGTGTATGGGAGCTATGTATGTACATATATATTATAGTCATCCGGTTTCTATAATTTTCAGTAACAATGCGTATAAGCAAACGCTCCTAGATGATTTTTCGGCAAATAGATTATATGGTCTTTCGAATGGGAATACGCACTGTTTACCACTCGGCTATTGCGGCTGTCATATGCGAGTATAATATAATATGTAAAGTGGCTCACGGCCAAAGTGATGCAGCTGTGTAAGAAATAGTATAATAAGTTTTATTTAAAAATAAAATAAATTTTCCAAAAAACATGAATGCCAGTTAATAGCGGCAGATATATACATTTCATTTATGCTTTAAAATATAATTATTTATATACAATATATTTTAAGTAATTAACAACAAAAACAAACTTCACTATTAAATTATACCTCACAGCGAAAATTATGCAGTAACAAAAAAATTAATAAATTAAATTTTTTTTAAGAACAAAACTAAAATTGTATGTTAATTAATATTTAATAGGATACCCCTTGCTGTCTACGACTGCTTTCATACGTTTGGGCATAGATTGCACTCACTTCTTCGTGTAGTCATGAGCAAAATTGTTCCATTCTAATTGTATATTTTTTAAGTCAACTTGATTTCGTATCTCTCGTTCCAAAACTGATTATTATCTTAATAGGACCGAAACTTGTCACCAATGTTTAATTTCATAGCACTTTGCAACAAATTTCTTTTTAAAATGTCCAAATACACTGTTTTATCCATGGTATTATACTATTATTATTAAACTATTAAATCCAAATTTCCATCTCCATACAATTAAATGCCCTCCACCATGTTTTACAGTGCTACGTAAACTTTGCTGTTGTAACGCAGCATTTGGTTTTCCCCATATATACCTCTATCCATCTGATCTAAACAGGATGAATTATTTTCGTTCGCTAAAATAACTATGTCCCAGAAACTTTAATCTTTATATAAATGCTTCTTTGCAAACTTAAGCCTTGCACTTTGATTTTTAACACTGACATATGGTTTATTTCGAGCTGTGCGGCCATCGAAATCAGCTTCTCTGTGGGTTCTTCGTATGGTTTTTGGGTTACAGCTTCTTCCAAGATATTTTAGCAGTTCCCTACCCAAAGCAGGATCACTTAAGAAGGGGATTTCGCGTATTTTCCGAACAATCAATCGGGAATCACTTTCGTTAAACGTTTCATTATGAGCCGTTTTAGTTATATTTAACACACGACTCTTATGATACCCGATGCTGCTGAACACTTCACTGACTTTTGCAGTCTTTATAATATTTGGAGATCCATTTTGATCTACACTCAACTAATGTAAATACTATAATGTCATAATTATCTCATATTACATCAAGATTGCTCGCTATTATAGCGGTATTTATTTCGCATTCAAAAATTGTCGGCAAGACGCCGCCAATAACGGTAATTTTTTGTGCATCATTTTCGCTGTGAGTACAATTTAATAGCGAAGTTTGTTTTTGTAAGTTACACCAATAAATACATAAAATATAAAATTTTTAAAGCATAAATGAAATGTGTTTATCTGCCGCTATTAACTGGCATTCATTTTTTTTGGAAAATGTTTTTAATTTTTAAATAAAACATATACCATTTCTTAGATAGCTGCATCACTTTGGCTGTGAGCCACTGTATATATTGTACATACATATGTACATAAAATAAATAAATATGTAAGTCAAGGCGGATACAAACAAATGTAATTTGCCTTGCCTCCAATTGATGTTTTCAATTCAACAAGTGACTTTCTCCACAATTTATGTATAATGCGTTTAATTGTAATTATGTGACAGATATGTGTATATATTTTTGGTATATGGAAAATAGATCAGAACTCACCAAATTTCTGTTGATGCTTCAACAAGCAATTGAACACAATCTAAACAGCCACGCGCTGCGGCATAATGCAAAGCCAAAGCTCCTCCATTAGGTCTTTCCGACGAAGAAATACTTCCCATGGAGTCGTACGTATCTAATTGATGTGAATGCATTAGGATAAGATGTTGAGTGGATATGTTACCTATGCTGGCGTTATTAATGTTGTTTTTTAACAAATCACTATTTTCATATCTAAAAGTATTCAAACCAAATAATACAAGTTCAATGTTAATGACTTATCTCTTAAAGCCGATGTGAACATACATAGATACTCGGAACTACATGTGTACATTTAACATTATTTTTAAAACATAAAAATGAGATAGATAATTTCAAAACGGTATTTACGTGTATGGTATGTGTATACGTATATGTTTATAATCAAAAATATTGGATTGGAAAAACGGAAGAGTGTGATAATCAGCTTTTCGGTTATAAAGCATAAACAGCTATATAAAGTTTATATGTCGATGATTGCAAAAGATGAATTTGTTAAAATGGGGCAACTCATTTGGTGA